TATTTGGTGCCAGGATGTAAGACATTTAGAACATGGCTCAGGTGTTTTTTTTTTCCAGCAACAGAGTGGTGTTTCAATGGGAATAAATTTTCATGGGTATTCTAATGGGATTTGAAGATTTTCATCGGATTTAGTTTGCTAATAATTACTGGGTTTATAATATATAAGCATGCGAAGGATTTGATTGCTGATATTTCTATCGAGATAATTCGAGATATAGTGAAATGGATGAAAAGGGATTTGTTAACCAATAAGCAGAACTGTGGGGCACCACTTTGTGGTAAATTCTGGGTTGGCAAAGGGGGATATACCATGATCTTCCCTGGGGCAAAGTGCCATACGTAAAATCCATTAATTGTAGATGGTTTTCCGAAGGAAGCCATGGTTTTCCACATCTATGTTAGTTTACCTTAGGGTAACATAAACCCTAACCAATAACCAACCAACAAATATTAAAGTTTGATTTGTTGCAGGGTCTCCAAGATTGGCCATGAATTGGGGTTTCAGCCACCCAATGTTTAACTCTGATATCTATTGATTAAAGTTCAGCCAGATTGATGTTCAATGTTGGGAAAGATGTGCCCATTCTTTGTGAATATTATTTTTTTACCAGCTGCTATGACCATGAGTAGCTAATTTCCCGAAATCATATTTAATACATTTTAATACCGTGATTCTAGGTTGACACATTGTGGTATGATCCTTGATAATTGTTCGTACTTCTTGGTCCATCCAGCATTGAAAAGAATTGGTTTCAGGGATCCAGAGAACAACAATCTGGTTGGTGGTTTGGAACATGTTTTTTATGACTTTCCATTCAGTTGGGAATGTCATCCATATATTGGGAATAATCATCATCCCAACTGACGAAGTCATATGTTTAAAAGGGGTAGGTCAACCACCAACCAGAAAATGTGTGAACATGTGTTCTGTGACTTATCTAGCAAACAAACATCTTTGTTCATCCCATCTGGTTGGTGGTTTGGAATATGTTTTATTTTTCCACAATATATTGGGAATAATCATCCCAACTGACCAATATTTTTCAAGATGGTTAAAACCACCAACCATACAGGATGGTGCCGCCAGTTATAAGTTGGTTTACAAACCCCATTAACTATAGTTATATCTGCCATAAACCATAGTGAAATGGGAGTTATGTTCACCAACTTATCTAACTATGGGGCATCACCTTGTATATATACCCTCTAGTTATTTAACAGTTCGCCATGGAAGCCATGGCCCAGTTCGAGATAGATGGTTTACCTAGCTATAGCATGGTGATTTTCCATGGCGAACTGTTAGTCATAACCAGAGGGTATATATATATAAACAACACCCTTTGGATGCCATGTTCTGGCCATGGCAGCCTGTCCAGTGGCCCCAGGTGCTTCGGAAAGCTCAGCCGAGTGATGATGGTCGTGATGGTCGCTTGGAAAGTTGGGAGGTCATGAGGTCATCCATCAAGCAGAACGGTGGATTTCTGAAGCAAACAGCAAAAAGGTATTTAGATTCAGTCGGCTTGTGGCATTTCACAGTTTCAACATGTTTCAACCATCAAAAATGATGAACAATTGGGATGTAGCAACAAAAACTGGGGATTGATTGAGATGGTTTATGATGGGTAAGTTGGTTTGTAACTAAAGAAATGCTGGGGATTTATCATAAATCAGCAAACACTTTTTTTTGGTGGATTAATGGTTGGGGATGAATGTTTGGGTCATGTAACTAAATATATGTTTGGGGATGAATGATGATGAATGTTCTTTTCAGCTCAATCGTTCTGACTCGTACCCAAGTGGAGATGTCGGGGTGGATGAACACAATCTGATCATGGTCAGCACATGGGGATTTACATGATATTTCCTGGTTTGAGTAGGGGTAAACAGATGGAGATAGGTAGGGATATCCTCTCATACCTTGGTATTACTTGGCAGGAAACACACACAGACACACACGAAACTCCAATCTATTTTGATGTTGATTGATGTCCTTTCCCCCCAGAACAATCATAATCTAAAATGGCTCAACGACTCAGTCAGCATTGCTGTGCCTTGCTGCGAGGCAGTGATTCCCCTGTGTGAGAGGAGTTTGCTTGGTGTCATGCAGGGTGATTTCATGTGTGGGTTGAAAAGGTCACCCCTCAGAAGGTTTTGAACATCTGGGGTATGCCACACGGCCTGGTAATCATATCATCATCAGCAACCAGGCCTCCTAAAGCACCAGAGTAGGGATATGGAAGCATACGACGTTGTCACTCTGTAATCAAGTTTTATGGATAACCTAAATTCAGTGTGACCAAAATCTATACAGATCCATGGCTTGAATGTGTGTAATACTGTTTGGAATTTAAGGACCCGTTGCAACATACCATCACTCTTGAGAGTTGCCACCCTCCATTTTTCTGGTCCTAAATGTATTACTTGGTGGTTCATCCCACTTGGGGTAGTATAATAACCCCGTGCATTGCATTTTAGCTTGGCTTGCACTTTCACTCTGCCAACATGTTGCCGGCCCAGAAAACGATAAGAGGAAAAAAAATACGATAACGATGCTCATATATATATATATATATACATATTTATAATATATATAATAATAATATCTATACATATACATGATATGAGGTACGGTCAAAACTCGATCTGGTATATTACTTATGTAAGGAGAGTTCTCGGGTGTCAGGAACTTGCACAAAACACTATGTAGCGATAGGCTCCCCCGCAAAAGCGATACCTGCAATTGAGAATAAACGTTGGCAGCTCCATGGGATTGGACCAACTTGCTGAGTCTCATGTGTTTTGTTGCCCGCAGTCGTTTACATGGACTACGAAAATGAGAACGTGCAGTGCAGAGGGGACCAAAACGATAACGAAACGATAACGAAAACGATAAGGAATTGTAGCAAAAAACATGCCGTGTGAACAATTCTTTCACACCCATGGAGCTGGAAAATTCACACTTCTTGTCTACAGGGAGTTCACCACCTGAGAAAACGATAAGAGGAAAACAAAACGATAACGTGATTTTGGGTAATTTAAAAAGATACGGGATTTTTATACAACCCCACTTAGGAAGGAGGTTACAACCATACTTGGAAGTGGACTAACCCTACTTGGCTCATTTGTAACACCGGTTGTAACATGTTATAACCCACGTGCTAAGTAGGATGAACCATGAAGTACAGTAGGCCCCAGAACTGGTATATAAATCCCTATGAAAATGGATTGATGACATCCCTCAAGATCGGCAATTTACCCAAGATTTGCCCATGGAACGTATGGGGAAAATGATGAGCCATCCGATTTTTGAGTACCAGATAATCAGAGAAAGCCAAAAATACCTGACTGACCTGACAAAAAACACCCCTGAGTCATAACAGATCATAAAAGATCTGAATCGTAACACCAAGAACTGGAATTCATGACAGACCAAAGGCCTGTCGCTAGGCTGTTCCAAGTCCCAAACAAGGACGGGGAATTCTGCGGTGAAAAAATGGAGCTTGTGCATCAGTTTCTCCACACAGACGGCCTGAGATCTTCAGGAAAGGTGGATCAACATGGCTCAACCACTGTTGTTTGTATGGCTGTTGTTGGTGATGATTCGCATTTAGGCTTCGTGATATCACTTGTTTATCAAAGATGTGTTTACCTCCTATTAACAGTGGGTCACATTTTTGGTCAATGACAATGATATACATTGACATGTACCATGGGTGATTTGAGTCATACACAAGCCCAAGTCTAGTTTATTAAACGCTCGACCATCCCAGACCTGGATGCAAGAGAGCGTTGAACCAAGACGCCCCTATAATTGCTGTGAAAAGTCATGGCTTTAACCATACCCTTTGGTTATTTAACATAGCCATGGAAGCCATGGCCCATTTATAGATGGTTTACCTAGTAAAAATGATGATTTTCCATGGCTAACTGTTAGTCATAACCAGATGGTACAATTTCCCAACAAAATAAATCCGATGAAGACAGCGCAGATGTTGGTCCATTTGTAGCAGACCATGCCATGTAGGGGACCCAATTTTGATTCATACAATCCCCATACCCACATATATATATGTATATATATATATATATATTACAGTACATATATGTATATATATATTATATATATATATCATATATATATATATATACATAGTATGTTTTTTTTCCCGAGCCAATTGGACCCAAGAGTGAGAGGCAGCTGGATTTGTTTGCATTTCAGCATTGACAAATTGGAGGCCTACGAGTTTGGCGAGTTTGGCCAGCCCTGTTTGTGTAACCTACCTATAGATGTGCCACATGATGCCACATGCATTTTGTATAGAAACAAAATGGCCAATCAGCCTGATGATTTTTCATCTCTTCAGGTGTGTTTGGTGATGTTCCATCTGAAAACAGGGCATGATGATCCCAAGTGCCACATAGTTCTGGGATGGGTAGCTCAAGCACCAACACGTTGGGTTGATATTGTGGGGTGAAATTTCATTTTTGGATTGGTGATGATTGCGGGGAGTGCATGTTTACATGCTGTTTGTTGTGGTTGATACGATATACCCACTCTTCCGATACAGTTTCGGTAGGAAGGAGATGTCCAAAAAAAATGCTATGCTTGTTCCTTGACTTTGATGTACTGGGACATTGTTAGGGTTCATTTAGGGTCATAGCTTTCGCTGCTCATATTTTGGTTGGATTAGAGGGGAATAATATGTCCCCAATATTCCAACTATTTTGGTTGATCATGGCAGATCATGGCAATGATACTTGTTGGAACAGCATATCTTTCTCATCAGTCGCAAAAAGCGTTGCCTTTCTTCATGAAGTGATGCCCAGTGTTCGTCGGGATGCCCAGATGTATTGGTTTGTGGAATTGGACGTGGGGTGTCAGTGCGCAAACTTTCATTCAGTGGGTTGCTGAAAGTGGTATCCCAACGCAACTGCAGAGACAGTCTCTGATACATGGCAGTTCTAGGCGTTCTTGTCCGCAGCGTTTGGTTCGACACAGAGGTTGGCTGAAGATTGTGTGACAACTATGGACATCCTTGATCCCAGCCCGCAAAGGGTAGACATTCCTGAGCCTAATCCGCGTCGTCATGTGATGCTTTCAGGCCGCTTTACCGAGGACCCGTGCTTGCCTTGTGACACCTCATTCATCATGATACATTTCCACGAACTCATGCACGCAGCAGATCCCAATGCAATTGCAGTTGTGAATCCGTTGTGGTAAACGCCAGGTCTTCAAACATAGGGTTTTCTTTCCCTTTTTTACTCCTGCAAGATATATAATAAGAGTTTTTGCAGGGCATGAGCAAACCCTGGAAGGAAAGAAGGAAGCAGTACATGATGATGGTGCGGGATGCACTCGAGGGACTCAATGTTCGCACCTTTATGGTGGATGCAAAGCCTGGGCAAGATTTTGGAGAGCAGACTACATTAGGTCTTCACTCAGCCGCAGCGATGGTAGCTTTCTGCACCAGCACTTATGGAGAAAAAACTGGGGCAGGCTATGAGACTTATGAAGAACTCAAGTATGCGCACGAGAGCAACGGCAAGATCTTCTTGATTCCTTTGAAGTTGAACCCTCAGTATCCTCCCCAGCCCCCAGGTCAACAGGGACAAGCTCTTTGCCAGCTTGTTTTCTCCAGAAGCAAAGTCTTCATCGATGGTTTAGAGACGGGTCCAGATGGAGGTTTGCGTTTCAAGCCAGCAATGCGAGTGGCAAAGGAGATCTGGCAGTGTCTAAAGGATGCAGACAAGTTGTCAGAGGTGACCGATCCGATCTTGGACTTGGATCTTGTGCTTGTTGGTTCACCTGAGACCGAAGAGGCAGGCGATTCCAAAGACTTTGCCCCGTCCCCTGAGCGGCATTCTAGGTGCCGGAAGGGCCATTCTACCACAATTTAAAACGATAGATAATATAAAATACAATTTCAAAAAAAAGGAATCCAACAATTGTTTCAATTATATAGTATTGATTTAGTATTCATGTCATGGATTCAGTATTGATTTAGTATTTATTTCATGGATTTAGTATTGATTTAGTATTCATTTCATGGATTTAGTATTGATTTAGTATTCATTTCACGGGTTTAGTATTGATTTAGTATTCATCTCTTGATCAGCGGGAGGGGGAAGCTCAGTAGCTTTATTCAGGGTCAAACTCTAATTAGTGCTAAGGCACCTCATGGGGGGTACCCTTGATGAGTTGATTTGGGATTGATTTTGGATAGGTTTATATAAAGGAATTTCATAGAAAGAGCATCCATTATGTTTGAAAATTTGAAGCTATCAAGGTAAGATCTAATGAGCTGGCAGTATGAATTAGTACATGAAAGCCACCTCAAATAAAGCATGGACAACTTTTTTTCAGCCACATCTGGGCAAATCTGGGTTCAGGGCAAAAAAAAATCAGCTTTATTTAGGGGTAGTTTATTATTTAGTTTTGGAGTTTTGTTAGCTTTATTCAGGGTGGGTTTATAAATCGTGGGTGAACATTATAATAATATTTTTTTGAGATATCAACATCAATTGCCTAAGTTGGACTTAGCTAACTTATAAGTATTCGAAGTCAAATCAAATGTTTCTAATCATCTGAAAACATATTTGTTATGTTTTCCATTTTTTTTGGTAAAGGGAACAAATAAATCAATGATAAATCAATGTTTTTTTGAAGTTTTTAATGCTCGATTGAGTGTTTTCGAGATGGTGACAAGCATATCTGGCACCTTTACATTCTCACCAATTGGAAAGTGCAGCTTTGTCTAGATGAGCACATATACACAGGAATTTGAATGATTTTGAGATTTGGAGCCACTGCGGCCAAACAGTGGCTGCAGCTAATCAACTTGAGTTGTGACCTATGAAGGGCCAATGTCACTGGAGAGAAAAACCAAACAAATATATGCCTTGACTTGAGTTTCTTTTTCCCTTTCTACAAGCGATTGTTTCAAACTATTTGGCACTTGCGAAACCTCTGATACCCGCTTTCAATCTACTTGAGGCTCATAGTTAATAGCGGTCTACATGTGATCATATGTGTGGATCATGTTCTTGGATCAGTACAGATGTTTACTTGTGACCAAAGATAATCATGTTCAATTCTTATGAATTTTTTGTAAACATTTGCAAACAACGCACTGTTTGTAAATTGTTGTTGGCACTCAAAAATGTTTCAGGCTATCTTGCATAGCTTTCTGATGGATGAACCATGGTCCAAAAAAGGTCCGACCAATTTACAAATTGGTCGGACCTTTTCCAAACCCAACTGTTTTGAAAGTTTTGAGAGAGAAACAGCATATTTCTGGCATGGCTAGTAAATGAATGCCTGAATATATGTGTCTATATTTGCTATGGTTGTCCAAAGGTTTGTGAGGCTCTTCTTTTTTTTGTGCCAAATGCCTGTCCGAATTGCTGCAGAAACAGCATGTTTCTGAAAGGATTTTAGTAACAATATGTATGCAGTTTGTATGCAGTTTTGTTTGCAGTTTCCAAAACTAGATGTACTTTATTTATATGCAGTTTTGATGAAACTACATGTAGTTTATTAACTGCATAAAAAAATAAAACCATATAGACTGCATATGATCTGCATATGAAAAATGTACTACTGATTTTTGATCATTTTCTGTTAAAGACAGTCCAATCTTTGGATCTAGTTTCAATCAAAAAGAAAGATAACTATATCAAGGATGCAAGTTTGGCCCAACATCTCAACATGCAAGGCGTTTTTGGCCAAACAAAGGTTCAACAGTAAATCTAAATTCAAATATTAAAACTGTTTGGATGAACTACACTTGAGATGATCTGCATAGTGGATGGCTTGACTCATCCCCATCATAGGTTGCCAATTTATTTGAACTTACTTGGGAAGATTCATATAGTGGATTTGTGCACTTATACATGTGTCAGCTATATCTTCGGTTGTTTCTTATGCTACGGGTTTTGAACTTGCATTCAAACTTTCAAAAAGGTTTCAGAACTAAACCCACAATAGGATTGAAATTGCAGCGCCGGTGACAGTGCACATAGTTCTTGCTACAGAACCTCACAAACAACAATACTCAAATAGGTCTCATGTAGAAATGTTCATGATTGCGGGTTTCACATGTAGTAGATAAAACCTCCCAGGTAACAACATGTAAGTAAGTCACAGGTGACCCATAACATGTTTGTGCCCATAGGCAGCTTGGCCTACAAACACAAATCACCTGAATCTGAAAGTCACAATTTATGCAGAGGTGAGCTGACACAAGTATACACCACTCAGGTAAATTATTAAATTGCAGCCACACAAGAAAGTGAAACACAGAGGTGAATAGGCACAAGTCTACGCCACATGTACATTGCAGGCACGCAGACAAGTGAAAACACAATGGTGATCGATCCAAAGAATGCCCATTCATGCACGCCAGCGCATGGAAAACAAAATCTCGCAAGTGTGCATGACACAAATGACTTGCACATGTTTTTGCACATACATATTGATCTGAACAATCAACATTCTCATGCGTTCATTTTAAAATCACCGCATGTTCATGGTGGCAAAAAAAAAAAATCAAAATATTTTTCAAAACAATCGAAAAATAATTTAAGGTTTTAAGTGAATAGAATTTAGGTTATAGTTAAACAAATGCATTTACTAGTAAATGTAAAAACATGTGTTTTTTTTCAAACATGAACATATGGAACCAAGAGTAACGAAAAAATAATACTTAAATTCTTGCCAAAGTAAACTGGCCAATTTTCGAGACTCAGGGCATTTACATATTACGACAAACAAGAACGAACTACTTCAAGATTCAATGCCTGAAACATGTTTTTTCAAAGAATATATCTACACATGTCTACAGATGTGTCACTCCAGTTTTGGATTTGTTTTACGCATGTAAAACTGTGTTTTTCCTGCTTTACATGTGTAAAACCATATATATTTTTGGTTTTACACATGGCTACACATGGCTACACATGGCTACACATGGCTACACATGGCTACACATCCCTACACATGCCTACACATGCATACACATGCACACACATTTCTACATCTCTCAAAAAAAAATCTGAGATCGCCAGTTGTATGGCATTAGGTTTTCCAGTCTCTGCGATGCAAGGGGGGCTCAATGTTTGGTACCTCATACCAATAATTGTCTAAGTAAACCATTCAAGACATATTTGAAATTATAGTTCATTTTATTTTCAGCCAAGTTTCTGACTTGATTATATGTCACATATGGGTATGTATCAACATAATGTGTCCTTTTTTGCTCCCACAATGCCATGCTTGGTTCCCTTTTTCGTCTTTAAAATGTCGTTTTGAAACATCCCCATATCTTGAAACATACCCATATCTTTTCACCTTGAGGCCCAATGGGCGTAAGAGAATGCAGAAGGCTGAATAAACATCTTTATATAAAGGTTTTGAAGCTAACCAATGTGGTTGCAGTTTGATAGGCGGCTCATTGAGCCGCATATGTACTTTCGACTTGAATGCCAAACTGTGTTTTTTTTCTGACAACACATGCAACTGCGCAGTGAAACTGAAAAACCGTCAAACCCAGAGTCTCGAACATGGGTTAGATTTATGTAAATAAATTTATTTACATTTTGGCCAGATTTACGTAAATAGACGAACTTACGTAAATATTTACGTAAATTAGGTCCGGAGTCTGGAACCCCATTTTTTACACGTAACCTTGATTTTCATATTAAGGATTGTTTTCACAATGTGTGCTTTGCAATTCATCTTGAACAAAATGACTCATTGAGTCAAAAGTGTTGTTTTATATCATTTTCTTAATCTTGCATCCGTAAATCACCATAAAGATCACAAAGGGCACAGTGCCATATTATATATTATAAAGGTTTTTTTGTTTCAGTGATTGCTTAGGTAGTGCTAAAGCCTTCTACAAAAAAAATGAGTCAAACATGAGGTCCTAAATTTGTCTTTTTGAACCCCTTTTCACAGAATTTTAGGACACCTATAAAAAACACTGGCCATTTTATATTTTGAGGTGGTAAGAACCATTTTTTCTAGCTAATTGTGATGACTCTTGGGCGGGATGAAAAATGGATTGGGGTTGGCAAATATTATTCTTATTTAAGTTTGGGGCCAACTAGAAAATATCCAAACCCAGTACTCTCATGTAGGGAGATGTGGATTTTATATATTTGAACCATGTTGGCAAATATTACCCTTCAATTTACGCTTGGGGCCAACTAGAAAATGCCAAAACCCAGTACCCTCATGTAGGGACATGTAGATTTTATTTCTGAACTATGTTTTAACTTGTTCATATTATCGGGTACTTTTAGGGATTATTTAGGTAGGGCTAAAGCCTTCTACCAAAAATTAAGTCAACAACGAGGTGTCCTAAATTGGTCTTGTTGAACCCCTTTTCACAGAATTTTAGGACACCTATAAAAATACTGGCCATATTGCCATATTACATTTCATGAGATCGTCTGAGAATGTTTGATATCATAGCTGTCATATCTGTATATATCTGGATGCTGTTTGGAGCACAAAAATGAAAATGACATGCAGGATCATAATGTTTGCGTATTGTACTTATTATCGCTATTGTAATTTTGGGAGTGCTGCACATGACCTAACATCTGGAGCACATAAAAAGTCGGTGCGGCGTTCAGCAACATTTACAGTCTGGGCAAGTCAATCAAAACTTGCAAAAAATGCAATATAAAATCAAAATCATTACATCATTACTCATAATCATCATAGAAGATTGAGCATAGGGAATGTTTTATTAAATGTTTCACTGAACCATTGGGTTTGCGATTTCGGATTTTGTCCTGTTGGTCAAGGTACAACATATAAAAACAATGTTTATCATACGATTGTTTTTTATCCTGTCCCCTAACCCCCCCTCTTCAAATCTATTTTACATATGGCCAAGATCCAAAAACACAATCCATGTTCTTCGGCACTAGGTTATATGATATGTATCACTATCTATATTTCAATTTTTGTATCCATGTACTAAACCTGATTCACTCCATGTTTTTGAGTTTATTTGTTTGTGCGTAGTGAACCTGCAGGATTAAATTTTGATGGTACAAACGGGTATAATTAAAGATGTTGGGATGAAATACGCTTGAGATGATCTGTAAAGTGGATGGCTTGACGCACCACCCTCATAGTTTGCCAACTTACTATATTGCCAACTTACTAATATAAAGTAAGGGAACTTGAAGGGAAAAAAACATGTCCCAAGAAACAATTCAAAAAAAAACATGCGAACATGTTAAGTTGGCTAAGTAATGTATAAGTAGTTTAAGTATATGTTCTATGTTTTCAAAAAAATAAATTAGAACATTTATTTAAAAAAAAACAACATATAAATTTGGTTTTTGACTTATAAGTGCTGTAACTTCACTTATAAACTACAGCCTACTTACCGCACTTGCAACATGTTGCAACCTAGTTGCAAGGGGGTTGCATCTATATACATACAAGCACATGCAAGTCCCCTAAACGAAAAGCAACCACCAAGTAGAGCCAAATGTTGCAATAGACTTAGAGGGACTTCGAAGGGTCGTGAAGGATGCTGGTATCTTTAATTTGCTACTAATTTGCACCGTGATAGCTTCACGCAGCATGTCCAAGACACTGCGCTGCAGTTCAAACCAACTTGGGATGGCGTGGCGGTCAGTCCGCCCAATGTGGTGATGATTGCCATCACATTGAAGCTTGCCCGACCATCTTGGTTCACTTTTCGATCTGCAAAGTAGCAAGGGCAAAATTGCGCGTCCAAACGGCAGAGTCCGAAAATTGAAGGTTCGGAAAATGCTATTCCTCCTTTCTGACAGTGCATCAGAAAATATTTTGAGAAGATTAGCAATGAAATAAGATGTCACACACACAGAGACAAACGCGCACAGACACACACACACATTCACCATTTAACCCTGACAGCCTTGAACGCCTGTCGTTTTGCGTGACTTGAGGTTAGTGAGACTTCAGAGAAATTGACATCTGGAAGGTGCTTCACACTCGGCCATTGAAACCTACTGTAACTTTGGTGAAGATTTCAACCATCATATCGCTTCAGTTTCAGATGGACAGTACGCATCCTTTATCGGTAACACCACAATGTGGACTATATAACTAACGTGCCTGTGTTTTCTTCATTGGTCACCATGGCAAATAAGGTTTCAATGTTTGTTTCCTCTGTGGGCCACAGGTCCACTACTGTATTGATGAATATAACATGGTGGGTAGAACATGGATTGTATATCATGTGGGTTTTCGTTTTGGGACATGATAGCAACTTCACTGCCAACTACGTTTCATCAAGCTTCATACATGAGAATTTAATTACATATATATATATATAATGGCTAGTCGGGGGAAGACCTTGGTCATGGGCCAAGATTTCTCCTTTGGGAACAACAATTTGCCCTGAGTTATGATGTGATGTGTATTATGTTCAGTCCCTAGTTGAGACCATGGTCCTCCTGAAGAATGAAGTGCAAACAGGTTTATCGCAATCATAACAGGTTTAAAAAAATGTCCAGAGGACAGTTCTTACTGAGCAACAATTGCATGTTTATCAAAGTGTGGATCGAGTTTGTGTGACAACTGAGCCGATGAAACAAACCTACGACCTTATCATTGGATGTGACTTGCATTGAAGTTGAAGGTTGTCTTGGATCCCCCGTCTCCATGATCATCCCAGGTAAGATGCTGTTTTCATGGATTTGCTTTTTGAGTGGGTGAAACTGTTGATACTGGGCATGATGCAAGTTTGACATAGTTTGACAGGGTCACCCGGTTTTGCTGCTGTGGTTCAAAACGAGTCTGAGAACTGGCTGGACATTGGATGTTTTCTACTTTGATGCTCATGTGAGCTTGATTTTCTTCCAGCAACTTCATCAGTTGCGCTTGGCCGTACACCTTCAAGGCCTTGGTCCTGAAATCCTACAGTCTAATAAATATGAGTAATTACAATATTTTTGGGTATCCAAATGTATCTAAGGTTGGGTATGCCTAGCATTATGCCCTTCATTTCCACAGAAGGCACTTTATTTTTGCAGCTGTTTAGACCTATTCGGTAGGTCAAAACCATGAAAAAGATTGCAAATTCGCCATTTCGGTTGTAGCCACCCTGTGCTTTGAACACTCGTGACTGCACTATTTTTGTGCATACTTCTTGAAACATATGTTATTTTTAAGGGCCTCATATCCCAGTTTATGGGTGTTTTTAACATTTTTTAACCATGGTTTTACCCATTTGTATATCTCACACTCCGTTTGCAGCAGCTTCATTCGTGCTTCACGCTGCTGATTTGACTAGAGAATGGATCCTCGGGCAGCCTTCCAGCACTTCTCAGGTGTGGGAGAAATGGATGGTGTAGACATGGTTCATTTGCCCTCTGGTTATTAAAGTAGCGAACTAGAAATCCATGAAAATCACAAGTTTTAACAGGTAAATCATTGAAAATCATCTATAAATGGACCATTTTGCAGTTCTTTGATTGGTGTACTCCAATCTTGAGTCGTACCCTTTTAAGTGAAAGTCTAGGTTGGTGTGTTTCGACAGCAATGCGTGGCCTCCTGGCATTTGGAGATGTTCAAACCACCAGCTCTCTGCAGGTATTTTGCTCGTTTCCACACCAAAAGTACATGAACTGGTGGTTTCAAACATTTTTTATTTTCCATTCGTTTTCACGATTTACCAACTTGATCTTTTTGCAGGTTGCTATATATATATGTATGGTTGGTGGTTTGGAACATGGCTATTATTTTCCCCAATACTTGGGATGATGATCCAATCTGACTTTCATATTTTTCATGGGAGTTGAAACCACCAATTAGACAAGTACATGAATGTGTTGACAATTTACTGGTATACTGTATGCACAAAGAATTCTAAAGCAATGTGTCATTCATTTGGCCAAATAGTCGACCAAAAAGTTTGATGGTTTTGTGTCCAATATCAACCCCACACACATCCTGTCCAGTTAACAAAAAAACGGGTCGCCACCTCCAGCGGGCAAAGCTGACAATGGAAAATACGCTGATTGAAGAGGAATATCATCTGGATAAATTATGAAGACCTCACTGAGACCTCACTGGAATGATGGTTACTAGGGGTAAGTATCCCAAAATATTAGCCATACTTCAGGTTGGGTTAGTGATATCTTACATTCACCAAGAACATCGTGTAAAGTGTGCAATGTTCAATTGTCGGTCCTAGTGGATTTTTGGCTTATAACCCTGTCTTAGTGTAGACATGTCCACCTTAAATCCTATGTTAGCATAGTTACAAACCAGCTCATGTTTTTCGGGGCCCATTGCAGAGTACAGAAGAATTTTCAATGAGCAGCAGGCCTTACATGTTGAGTCAGATTTCCCGGTTGGCTGGAGTTTTGACCTTCCAAATCATTTACGCAACACCATGCTGACATTAGCAAGGCAAGAATAGCAAAACATAGGTGGGTCAGAAATATCCCCTGTCAGAGTAAATGAATACCTTTATCAAAAAAATATACAGCTGGAAGGTAAATTAAATAAACCCAGCTCAAAAAGATAGGTCATTTGCCAATTTGCCACTATTTTGATTTTATCTTTCTACATCTTTCTACCTTTGCAACATTTCGCCACTTGTTTCCTTGGATTTTGGGGGTTTGCTATAACTGGGCCTGGGGAATCATACCCCTCAGATGGTAAGCCTGTGCTGGACATCGACGACCTCAGCTGCGCCGTGCTCGCGGTCTTTGGCTTCAAATTCAAGAAGCAGGTGCCTGCAAGGTGGTGCCCCAGTTCGTTAGCTAAGTTGGTGAACATAACTCCAATAACTATGGTTTATGGTAGATATATTTATACTTACTCTGGTTTATAAACCAACTTAGAACTCGGGGGCACAACCTTGTACTTGAAGGATCAGCCCACAAATCACGAGTCATATCCAATCCTAACTGCTTGGTTAGTGGGGAAAAAAACACCCAGTCTTTGAAAGAATGGGATAGCCCACTTGGGAGCCTTGCTAAGCAGTTTTTTTTACACGCTTATTAGGATGATCCTTGGCCTACTTGAGCAATGAACAAAACACTTTGCTTGATTGGTTATGACATAAGGAGTTATAATGCTTGGATTATTGGGGATGATTAGAAACCATAACGGGAAAACATACTTCAGTTTGAGTGAGGCGATTTGTTAAACATGAACAGGTTTTACATCCTCGTTTTTTTTAAAGGTGACTTTTGTGTCCAATGGGAAGGCCACCAGAACTGGGGAATCTGTAGGGAATATGTTTTATTTTTATTTATCTACTTGGGATTCCTTAGCAAATAGAAGTTGGGACAATCTGGGATAAATAGGAGATGTCTTGTGGGTAATGATGGGATACATACGATGCTTAAAAAAATAGAAATAAAATAAAATGAAACAATACGTGATCAGTTTGATGTTTTTTGTTTGTTGTTTTGCCATACAGGGAAACATATATGTACTAACCAACAAGAAAGAACATGCAGGGTATCTAAGATTGGCCATGTGTCTACTGTAGTCTTTGTTTCAGAATATGCGGATCTGCGTCGCTCGGGGTGTTCCCCAACTTCCGTTTGAGATATGCCAGACGGGTGGTCCCACTTTTCTCCACCGAAAAAAACATCACGGCCCTCCCGAATTTGGGTTCCATCGAGTGGTGGAAAGAGTGGAAAGCGGGTTTGAGCCTTCTTTTGCAGGGTCAGCCGTGGGGTGACAGGCAACAAGTGTTGAAGCAGTTGTAGGCCTTATCCCTCGGTTCCCCAAACAATATGATATGGGTTAGCTTTTTTCCCGAGAGCGTCTGAGCGCAGGGTTCTTCCAATAGTGGGGGTCTGTATCTCATCTTCACACCTTCTCATCTTCACACCTTCTCATCTTCACACCTTCTCTCACACCTTCTCATTTTCACATCTGCTCATCTTCACATCTTCTCTCACATCTTCTCTCACATCTGCTCATCTTCACATCTGCTCATCTTCACATCTGCTCATCTTCACATCTTCTCTCACATCTGCTCATCTTCACATCTGCTCATCTTCACATCTTCTCTCACATCTTCTCTCACATCTGCTCATCTTCACATCTGCTCATCTCATCTTCTCTCACATCTTCTCTCATCTGCTCATCTTCACATCTTCTCTCACATCTTCTCTCACATCTGCTCATCTTCACATCTGCTCATCTTCACATCTGCTCATCTTCACATCTTCTCTCACATCTGCTCATCTTCACATCTTCTCTCACATCTGCTCATCTTCACATCTGCTCATCTTCACATCTTCTCTCACATCTGCTCATCTTCTCTCACATCTGCTCATCTTCACATCTGCTCATCTTCACACCTTCTCTCACATCTCTCACCTTCACATCTTCTCTCCTTTCTCTCTCCTTTTTCTCTCTCTCGCCTTCTTTATCTTTCTCTCTTTAGGCCGAGGGTGGTGCCGGCGGAGAGTCACGAAACGTCAACCCTTTCGCACGAAATGAGGGTCGATCGTCAAAAACTGAGGAAAAATTGCGATTTACTTGTCCTGGAGCAACCCTTTCGCACGAAATGAGGGTCGATCGTCAAAAACTGAGGAAAAATTGCGAGTTTACTTGTGCCGGAGCAACCCTTTCGCACGAAATGAGGTCGATCGTCAAAAACTGAGGAAAAATTGCGAGTTTACTTGTCCTGGAGCAACCCTTTCGCACGAAATGAAGGTCGATCGTCAAAAACTGATGAAAAATTGCGAGTTTACTTGTCCCGGAGCAACCCTTTCGCACGAAATGAAGGTCGATCGTCAAAAACTGAGGAAAAATTGCGAGTTTACTTGTGCCTGGAGCAACCCTTTCGCACGAAATGAAGGTCGATCGTCAAAAACTGAGGAAAAATTGCGAGTTTACTTGTCCCGGAGCAACCCTTTCGCACGAAATGAAGGTCGATCGTCAAAAACTGAGGAAAAATTGCGAGTTTACTTGTGCCGGAGCAACCCTTTCGCACGAAATGAAGGTCGATCGTCAAAAACTGAGGAAAAATTGCGATTTACTTGTCCTGGAGCAACCCTTTCGCACGAAATGAAGGTCGATCGTCAAAAACTGAAGAAAAATTGCGATTTTACTTGTCCTGGAGCAACCCTTTCGCACGAAATGAAGGTCGATCGTCAAAAAGCGTCTGTGTGTCAAAGCGTCTGTGTGTAAAAGCGTCTGTGTGTAAAAGCGTCTGTGTGTAAAAGACTGTGTGTAAAAGCGTCTGTGTGTGTCTGTGTGTCAAAGCGTCTGTGTGTAAAAGCGTCTGTGTGTAAAAGCGTCTGTGTGTAAAAGTGTTTGTGTGTAAAAGTGCTTGTGTGTAAAAGCCTCTGTGTGTAAAAGCGTCTGTGTGTAAAAGCGTCTGTGTGTAAAAGCAAAGCGTCTGTGTGTAAAAGCGTCTGTGTGTAAAAGCGCTGTGTGTAAAAGTCTGTGTGTAAAAGCGTCTGTGTGTAAAAGCGTCTGTGTGTAAAAGCGTCTGTGTGTAAAAGCGTCTGTGTGTAAAAGCGTCTGTGTGTAAAAGCGTCTGTGTGTAAAAGCGTCTGTGTGTAAAAGTCTCTGCGGGTAAAAGCCTCTGTGTGTAAAAGTCTCTGTGTGTGAAAGAGCCTGTGTGTAAAAAGCGTCTGTGTGTAAAAGCGTCTGTGTGTAAAAGCGTCTGTGTGTAAAAGCGTCTGTGTGTAAAAGCGTCTGTGTGTAAAAGGCTCTGTGTGTAAAAGCGTCTGTGTGTAAAAGCGTCTGTGTGTAAAAGAGCCTATGTGTAAAAAGCGTTTGTGTGTAAAAGTCTCTGTGTGTAAAAGCGTCTGTGTGTAAAAGCGTCTGTGTGTAAAAGCGTCTGTGTGTAAAAGCTTCTGCGTGTAAAAGCGTTTGTGTGTAAACGTGTCTGTGTGTAAAAGCGTCTGTGTGTAAAAGCGTCTGTGTGTAAAAGCGTCTGTGTGTAAAAGCGTCTGTGTGTAAAAGCGTCTGTGTGTAAAAGAACCTATGTGTAAAAAGCGTTTGTGTGTAAAAGCGTCTGTGTGTAAAAGCGTCTGTGTGTAAAAGCGTCTGTGTGTAAAAGCTTCTGTGTGTAAAAGCTTCTGCGTGTAAAAGCGTCTGTGTAAAAGCGTCTGTGTGTAAAAGTGTTTGTGTGCAAAATCGTCTGTGTGTAAAAGTGTCTGTGTGTAAAAGTCTCTGTGTGTAAAAGTCTCTGTGTGCAAAAGTCTCTGTGTGCAAAAGTCTCTGTGTGTCTCTGTGTAAAAGCGTCTGTGTGTAAAAGTCTCTGTGTGCAAAAGTCTGTAAAAAGTTCTGTGTATGAACAACTTTACAAAAATACGATGCAAACTATTGTCTTGTACTAGGCATATATTGTCTTGATACTACTCTTCTCGTCTGCCTATAATACATCTTTAATATATTATCTTGTAATATAGTGTCTCCATACTAACAACAGAAGACTCTGCTCCTCTACGCTCTCGGGCCATCCGTCGTCTAGTTTCCCAAGGGTACAGTCAACAGCCCCAAAGGATACTGTATGAGTTTGTGAAGTTGGATATACCCCTGGTATTGGTGATTTTCTAAAACGGGAGACATCCAAACACATTGTGTTTGTTCCGTTCAAAATGATCCACAACTTAAATGTAAATTTGCGGTCATCCAAGGGTTTTGAACCCCATGTTCAACTGGAATGAATGAGTTTATCGCAACATATCCAGTAAGTGTGCATGGAGTATATCCAAAATCACGCCCCATTCCAACTAGGATGATCAACTTTAAATGATATGTCGGGGTTGGGTCAAACCTCTTTGATGTTCTACAATTTTAGCCGACAGCCAGAAGGACCAGCCTGATTTTGGATGATATACCTTGAGTTGCACCCTATCGCTGTGACAGTCAGCAAATGTTAGTCATGAGTTTCAATCTATTGAAACATGTTAAAACAAGACGAGTAGAATTGCATGCGTTTTTGTTGCCCGTTTAATTTATATACAAATTATATTTACATATAGAGATATACAGAACAATAACAAAAATAATAACAACAATAACAATAACAACCCAGATGCTCATACATGCTCCATGTATGGTATATTTACCTACAAAACTGGGTGATTTTTTAGGATAAATGTTGGTAAATCTGGTAAACATGGAGCATTTGGGTAATATTCACCCAAATATAATTCAGAATTATGATATATGATATATCCACTTTTGGATATTATCTATGATATATCTGGTAAATCAGAATCAAAAGTGGATATCATATACCCTCTGGTAAATTAACCTAGACCCTGAAAATAGCCTAGTTTTAATGGAAACTAATCTTCCAACCCCTATCTACCAGGGTCTATGTTAATTTAGTTAATTTACTGGAGGGTATATCATATATCCAAAAAGCAGTTGGTTACGCTGCGACGAGTCGCTCCGCTCCAGGATCTGCGAGACCTCATGGAACAGTACGGCACCAGGTCGCCGGGGAATTGGTGTCCGAGAAGGTGGAGAAAACCGGTTTTATATGGGTACCCGGCCTGGTAAACATACAAAAACCAATGGAAAATCACCATTTCTAATGGGTAACTAGGGAAATTCACGATTTTTAATGGGTAAATCTTTAACATAGCAATGGAAAATCCCAACCATAAATGGAGGCTTATATTTGGGAAAATCATCTATAAATGGGCCATTTTCCGTGGCTATGTTAAATAACCAGAGGGTATTTAGATTCTTATGATTAAAACATGATTTATCATGGTCCATATGGTTGTCATAGTTGTTGTTAATTTAGTGGTTTCTTATGGTGTAAATTATGGTTTAGCATGATTTATCCTGGCTGGTGGGAACATTTGGATTATTTTCCATATATTGGGAATTTCATCATCCCAACTGACGAAGTCATATTTTTCAGAGGGGTAGGTATACCACCAACCAGTATCATACGTTTTGTTATCCTTTTATACTGTCTTCAAAAAAAATGGTTTTCCATGAAAATGACCAGACATTGGGAAAATTAAAAAAACCCAGTCTTTGGAGAAACCTTGGGTACTTTAGCCCTTTTTGTTTTTTGGAAATGTTGGTTGAAAAGAAGAAACCATTGGTTTGACCACACTTGTTGTTCAGTGGTGCCTCTGGAAGAGCCTTGCAGCCAACCTGGGTTTGTGATTTTGTGATCACCCATTCAACTGTAGAATGATTATATCCACTGTAGATCCAACAGGGGATCTAAAAAGAAAATGGAAACCCTTCTCAGCTGGGGGGGGGGGTTTGCTGTAGTATCCTGTAGTATATCCACAAGGTCCGAAGGAGAGTCCTGCTTTCTCCCGCTGCAGGCGCCCTGTCTTGGGGGATCTAGAACTTCGGGGCACCAAATTTGTTGAAACTCTGGGTTTTAACGGGAGGAAAACCATACAATGGTTTCGAGCTTTGAAAATACGGCGTTTTGCGGGCTGTGTGGAATGTGATACATAAAGACGTGAGATAAGGTCCAATCCTCGGAATATCTATTTGCACAGAATATGAGTTTCCTGGTTGCTTTGTTTAAGTGTTGTGTACATAGGCATCATCATCATCATCATCATCATCATCATCTTCATCTTCATCATCATCATCATCATCATCGTCAACATCGAATCTACATCTACATCAAGCAACGTTGAGGGTGAAATGCAATCAACAACAGAGTCTTGAGGCCTTTCTACAGCTGGTCGAAGACAGGAGGAGCTGCCGCCTGCCTTGGTGATTGTACCGTGGCAACTCCCCTGAAATCTAAGACTCTTCGGGGATTTTATGGGATAAACATAGGGATTTCATTGAACATTTTGGTGCAATCAGGATACAATGGGTACATCAGCTGCTGAACATGTGTGGTTTTCCTTCTCCATCGGTACTCTCACCATTTGGGGTATCTATTGGGAAAACGGAATATGATATGTGACATGTTATATTGTCCCCGTAAGCAACTTGAGGTAGGCATGCCACAAAGATGGATATTTAAATGGCAACAATAAGTGGACAACCAAATTTGAACATCATAGTATATGAATGTATATAACTACTTGATAGCAGCTGGATGCTTTCAGAGTCGCTTCATTTGTCTAATATACCTGATACCTGGGATGATGATCCCACTTGACATGTGATCATAGGAAGACAAAGAATACGAAATATGAGAGTTTCTTGAGCAGAATAAGATGTTTCACAATATGGTTATGTATTCAATATATGGTTAGTTATATATAACTATATTGAAGATTCATAAGTTATATAAGTTATATATAACTATATTGAATATATAACCACATCATGGGATTTATTGGGGTCCAGGTCGAGTTTCAACCATGTATCACAGCTTTCATGAGATCTTTGATGCGTCTAGTATATTCACTAACAGTCACTGTCACCAAAAGGTACCCTCTGGTAATTTAACATAGCTATTGAAAATGACCATTAATAGTGGATTTTCCCATTAAAAATGGTGATTTTCAATAGCTATGTTAAATTACCAGAGGGTATGGTCCTTAAAGTCGAACAGCGGCCATTGGACCAGGAGAGTTTTGGGTGAACGAGATCGTGCGCTGCGGCTGTGTGGCTGCTCAGATGTGTTCAGTGTCCCACGATGCGAAATGAGGTTCACAGCGCTAAAGCTATAGCAAGCCCAAAACAGGTGGGTGTGTCTGAAAATAGTGTACCCCTAAACCCAATGGTTAATGATCATTATCCCTATTAAATGGCTATAATTGGGAATATACCCTATTTTCAGACAAACCCAGGTGGCACAGGATGGAAAAACGTACATTCCCACTAGAATATCTGGTTGGTGGTTTGGAACATGTTGAAAAAATGTCCATACATTTGGAATAATAAACACCAACTGACTTTCATATTTTTCAGAGGGGTGAAACCACCAACCAGATATAGTAATGAATCAGTTCTTGATCTTCTTGGGTGTTACTATACATCCTTTGAGCCCAATATTGTCATGGTTGATTATGTTCATGTTTGTTTATTCCACTTCAAGTACAAATGTCCTGATTTCCGTTTTTCGTTTGGCATACCATATCCGATCCCATTTCCATGTGTATGATACTTGAGTAGCATTTCTTATCCCATATTTTTTTAATCCCATACCCTCTGGTAAACTAACATAACTATGGAAAATCACCATTTATAATGGTAAAACTCACTATAAATGGCCATTTTCAATAGCAAACTGTAACAATTCTAGTTTTTCTATCCCATAGCCCTATCCATCTAAGTTTATCAAATTCCGCCGAGCAACTTTTCCCCAGGTTCAGTGCGTTAGATGTCAAGGACCAAGGCCGTTCGGATGGCTTTGCAAACGGATGGATCGAAGATGCAACTTGATTAACAAATAACATTAGTGATGTTAATCAATGTGCATTATTAATGGAACAGTAATGTTAATAAACAAATGCACATGATAAACTCAGATGAAAATACACAGAAATCTTAAAGCATTGAAGTTGATATTTGACATAACATGATTGATATAATCTGACAATATCTGACATATTAATCACCCAACTTAGTTCTTTTCTCATTACCGGATTTCGCTGTTTGTTTGACGCAAGGCTTCCTGGATCTCAAGAGCTTTCATCAGCTGCCTGGAGGCTCAGGCTGACATATCTGACCAATGCACGAATGCAGCCTGCTGGATATTGAAAATGGCTGAATATATATAGCATTATATCATATAATGTAGTATATAAATAGTATATATATAGTATATAAATAGTATATAAATAGTACTATATAATATAGTATATAAATAGTGTTTAGATAGTTTTTTAGATAGTTTATAAATATATGTTGTGTATATGATGTGGATATGATGTGTATATATGTTCCAGTGTTTGTCCTCACAGATATGCGTGTATTGTAAACATTAACTTCAACACATGTAATCTGGAAGTGGCACGAGAAAGAATCGATTTTGCAGAGGATTTAGCCTATTGAATCTTTGCAACTTTAAACATTTGTTCTTTGTTCCAGCAAGTAATTTTCAGTGCAACTTATCCGAACCAAGCATGGTATATTTACATCTACCTTCTGGTAAACAAACATAGCTATTGAACATGGCCATTTATAGTTGATTCACCTATTCAAAATGGTGATTGTCGATAGTTATGTCAGTTTACCAGAGGGTACCCCCAACCATCGCAGACATGCCCTTCTTGGAAGCTATCATGGAAGCGAAACGAATAAACGGGCATTTATCATCTATGGAGATTCAACATTACACGGTTAAGACACACCCCAAAAAATCCGTGGTTGTTGGTGACTTGGTGATTGATACACCCGAAACATATCCCCAAACTTTGTGGGTCACCTCAGAGGGGGGTTGTCCCATGATATGCCACCTTATGGTAGGTCTTGCAGCCCAATTTCATTGGTTCCATCACCATTGTTTAAATAACGGGGTTATTATCCAATGTTTCGTATTTTTTAGATGCTTCGGATTATTATGCTCATGTTCCTATAATTGAATCCCTGTGATTGCTGCTCAAACCTACTCTATATGTCTGATGCTGTTCTACTCACCATTTATAGTGGCTGAATCCCCATTGGCCCATTGTCTTCGGCTGAATCCCAAAATCGTCCCATAATTATCCCATAATCATCCCATACTAATCTCACTTAATCTGGTTGCTTTATTGGAGGCTTCACCGTGTCAGTTCGATCCAGGTGTTTGGAAACATGTCGTCCCAGCGCCCAGCGGGCCGCAGAGATCTTCCAAGACATGGACAGGTCGAAGGCGGCTGTTTTTTTAAGGTGGCTTGAAGCGTTGAACCAAAGATATGAACCAAACTACGGAAGAAATTGAAGAAATCCTACACGGGTAGTAGGATGATAAGTGGTTGGAAAATATCATGGTTTCTCCATCATGGTTTATCCCATCTTTGAAAACGGGTTTCAAACAACATGTTTCAACATGTGAAAAACCATCCGTTTGGCGGTGCAGGATTTCGCAACCATGCACAGTATGGAGGATTCGCGGATTGCACAACTATGTTCACGGATGCTGGAAAATTCATTTGCAACAATCATATTTAAGAGTTGGGATTAAGAAAAAGTAAACATCTACAAACTAATAAACTAGTTGTGACTCCAGAAGAAGATATTTATCATTATTTATCACGAGTTGTGAAATAAGACTTGGGAATTCATCTTATATTAAAACTCCAAAACGATTGAGAAACAACAAGAGAGGGATTTAGCGGCAAGGATCAGGGTATCTCAAGGCCAAAAATTTCGCTTGGTTTCTTCGAAAAAAAACGGATTTGACCAAAAGCGGAGCCCCACATAGCCTGGGTAAGGCATGGTAAGACTCAGCTTTGTTGGATGGGTTGTGACTCCAGTTTCACGGGACGATCAGTAACAGCCAGCCCTACTGATTCCTGGGTGAGCCGCCAAGGAAAATATTTGTATATTAGGAAAATCATTGAAAATCAATCATTTATTCGCCATAAATCATTATATTAGACAATAATATGGAAAATCATTGAAAATCATCATGGAAGTTTAAATCATGTATTAACCCATATGCTCCATGGTGCTGGAATATCTTCCTACAAAACTGGGCAATTTTTGGGGGTTTGTAGGTAAATATTCCAGCACCATGGATGCCATGACTTCCCAAAAGCCGCACGGCTCCTGCCCGCAGTCCGGAGCCGTGACGTTCTCGGACTTTGAAAGCTCCTTGGCAGATGACGAACAGTTCGCCATGGAAAATCACCATTTTTTTATAGGTAAACCAACTATAAATGGGCCATTTTCCATGGCGAACTGTAACAAATAACCATAGGATAGTAGATTTTCTTGGGAAATCTATACATAAATCTACTACTGCAACCATTCTTGGGGTCGCAAAGTGGTCTTATGTCATGACATGTCATGACTTAAGTGGCCTCACATCAGGGATCACTGATGTTACTTTTAAATCTTGAAAATTATATATGTGGTACCGGTTTTGGAATTTCTGCTTTGAGCCACAAGCATGATATGATTTTCTTCAACAAACTGCTGCCAAGTTCTGGTGGGCCAGCGTGTTACAGATGGGTCAACATATGTCAACATACTCAGCATGCCCAAAGTGGTGCAAATTGAACCTTCCACGGCAATCAGATAATCAGCTTTCCTGCCACGGAGTATCGTGCCAATCAGTATGCTTGGCTAATAGGGAAACTTCTAGGCCAAGGTTTTTACCAATTGGTCACTTTCTGGATTGGTCACTTTTTGTTTGCCAAACCCCGCCATCTTTCGGTGGTGATCAACGAATTTTATTTCACCAAGTTGTCGCTTTGTTGCAGTGTATCCCATGTACCTCTAGTTTTGGGTTGGCTTAGTAACTCATCTAAGTATAGTTACAATCAGACCCTAGACAATCTAAGTATGAATTAACTTAGCCAATGAACTCAGGCACCACGTTGTCATGTGTGTGCTCGAATGCATCTCATTGTGCTATGTGCTTGGCCTTGTGAGGTTATTTAGCTGGCGAGGGGGATGCTGAAGCAGCCTGAGGGCAGACAGTGATCCCTGAGAACAGCCCGGTTGGCCCTAGTCAGAAAAGAGCTAAAGAGGGTGAAAGGGGCCTCCAGTCATTACTTGGTTCATAACCCCATGAGAATATAGATATATCCACCATAAATCCCAGTGAGGCTGCTTACAAACCAACTTACCTATTTGTGGGAACCCTAACGATGTTGGTCCAAACCTCATGATTAAAAAAGCAAAATCCGCAGATATTCACGTCTCAACTAAGACGGCAATACAGTAGTCTGGTTGGTGGTTTGGATGTTTGGAACATTTGGATTATTTTTCCATATATTGGGAATAATCATCCCAACTGACTTTCATATTTTTCAGAGGGGTTGAAACCACCAACCAGTAGGTTTTTGGGATGCGATCGAGAGAAGTTTTGGGGGTTTTGACTTACAATCAGTTGCGAGATGACTTAGGACAGGGGCCAAATGAACATCTGTGGCACGGGAGTGCTTTGCCAACGTTGCAAAGCCGTTTCTAGGTGCAAAGTCATCTTTGCTACAGTAACAAGGAAATCGGTTGTGTGTCAAGAGGAGTTGATTTGGAAAACGGTGCGAAACAAGATTCACTTGGTGGTCAGACTTTGAGAGTCACATCTTCTAAAATGAATTGATCTTATCTGGTTGATGGTTTCAAACATTTTTTATTTTCCATAACATACGGGATAATCCTTCCCATTGACAAATATTTTTCAAGATGGTTAAAACCACCAACCAGTTATTCGTTCATGACAGTCCACGCCATGTTGATGCATGTTTTTGGTACCACAACTTGTTGGATTGAACTAGTCAATCCTGACAGGGTTTGCCAAGGGCGTCGCTACAACATGAAACGGATCAGAAACATGAGACGGACACAGACAAGTTCGAACGTCCCTTCTCCCGGAGCTCAATGATGTTAATGCAGGATCATGGAGGTGCTACCCCGATACAACGTTCAATGCTAGTTTCAAGCACTTGGATGTTTGTTTCCCGTGATTCTCTCCGCTGCGGAACTGTTCACCAGCTGTCCTCATTGGAACACAATCAAGACCAGCAAGAACCAATCCCTGCCTTTACTGTATTCCCTTGCCATGATTTTCTTTTTATGTTCGATGCTAAGCCTGAAATACCCCGAATTCTCCCTAAGTGTTCATTAGTCTGTTCATATTTTCCAAAACAATACCCCAACTTACAACTGATCCGATGCCAGAAACTCACGGCTTAGATCCACGTCTTTACATCTCGTTGCGCCACGCACGGTCCACGCAGTCCCCGGGTTGCAGGTTCCGCGTCTTGTTTGTGTCGCCAGGGATGATGCCAAGGGGTGACAGAAACACAACTGCCATGCCCACTTGGGCTTGATATCATTGGGTAAATTTGGGTAATGGTACCCTCTGGTAATTTAACGTAGCTATTGGAAATCACCATTTTTAATGGATAATTCAACTATAAATGGCAATTTTCAATAGCTATGTTAAATTACCAGAGGGTAACATATATTGTATACTCTGTTTAACTACTATATTTTTCAACTACCCTTTGAAAATGCATTTAACTACCCTAAAAATTGAACACATAAATACATATAATATATGGACCCATATGTTCACTGATTGATATCTTATGCACTTGCTGGAAGAAATTCCGAAACTACCTGCGCAAGACGTTCATGTTGTGTGGGAGAAGGGAAGTGTTTAGCATGAAACTCCATTGTCCCAAGATTGAATGGTGTAAGGGAAAATATACAGGACACCATTGTTTCTGGATGCATTTGACATACGGGGGGTTCCTGGAGGTTTTTCCCATAAACCAATTCTGGAAAAGATTTGTGTGTAAACATGTCTTGGTACATGCTGTAAACTCATGCGAACTCAAGCTGGTTGGTGGTTTGGAACATTTGGATTATTTTTCCATACGTTGGGAATCATCATCTCAACTGTTACTCACTCCATCATTTTTCAGATTGGTATACCAACCACCAACCGGTTCAACCAGCAAGATATATTGGACGAATCAGTCTCGGATTCTTTTCCCACTTGTGAGGCCCAGTTGGGCAGATCTGATCAACAAATCTGGATGGAATGGGTTTTGCCTGAGGTGATTCGTGTAGTTTTCGGGACGTCCAGACGTATATTCGGAATATGTGTGATCTTTTTTCGGCCCTTAAGCAAATCCAAATCGTAGCTGGTTGTTGGTTTGGAACATGTTTTATTTTTCCATGTATTGGGAATAATAACCCCAACTGACTTTCATATGTTTCAGAGGGGTGGCTCAACCACCAACCAGGTGGAATGGGTTCATCTTAAAGTCTTAAATGTTGTATGCAAGGGTGAACTTGACACAGCCCCAACCCGCTTTTTTAACTCGGCAGAAATTCAAGCAGTAAACGTAAACCCAACGTTTGGACTAAGATCCTGATTTGTGTTGGTTGATCATTTATTGGATATAACCAGTTTATGTTAAAAATGGTTACAACATGTTATAAATAGTTGATCATTAATGTTAAATAATGATAATAATGTTAAATAAACAATAACATGTTACTCTCATAAGATGGTTTATGTTGGTTCAACAATTTACATAGTCCCATGGTCGGGCTGTTCGGGTCCACAAGCTTGAAGGGCCTTGCATGTCATGAGTGTCCGAGCCCTTCTATCACTTGGTAGGACCATGCCAGACGAAGAGAAGGAGAAGGCAGCCCAAGAGTGTTGCGATGTGTGGGGAAAATGGCGAGCTGGTGCCCCCCAGTGATGTGTGTTGGTTAAAGACCCCTTAACTAGAGATATAAGTATCATAAACCATAGCTATTTGACTTATAAAGCAGCTTAACTAACCAAACATCACCCGCCGGTAATCAAAGGTGGCATGGAACATCCGCCATTGATAGTTTGATGAGGGATTTTCCAGCCAGCCATGTTTGATTACCGGAGGGTGGTGATTCAGCAGGTTGATCAAGAACATGCCTCCTGCAAACGTCACCCGCTGGTAAGCGAGTGTCCTACCCTCTGGTAAACTAACAGTTTGCTATTGAAAATGGCCATAGAAATAGTTGATTTACCCATTAAACATGGTGATTTCCCATAGGGTATGTTAGTTTACCAGAGGGTAATGTCAAACTCTTCGAAAACACAAGGGCATACAGGTCAGCAGCCCGTGCCAAATGAAGCAAAAGGGGCGTGGAGGTATTCTGGATGGACTGTAGTCACACACTCAGTTTCCTGAATGTTTTGGGGGGTTGGATGATTCAACCAAGAAATTGAAGACAACGGCTACAATCAATGGGAACTTTTGACCAACAAAGATTAGTGAAACCTTGGTGAACAGACATGCAGCTAAACAGTGGTTTTGCTGGATGTCCAGATCGATGAATATTTTTTCTTTGCGCCAAGCCACCTGAGTTTTCTCCCCCGGACTCTTGGAACAACGTCCTCAGTTGGTTCTCCCAAGAAAAGTCTCAAACTGGGCGCAATCTTCAGTAAATCAACATGTCATTTGCATTTGGCAAGCCATTTGGCAAGCCATTTCCCATGCATTTCATAGCAGCCCAGGAGCTTCCTGTGAGTCCATTGCAAGAACTGGCAGACATCCGCAAGCGGCACCAGGAAAGGCGCGTGGCGTGGCCCGCTGACAGGGTGACACCCCCGAGATGGACAGGGCGGACAGGGCGGACAGGGCGGACAGGGCAGCCTTTTGGCCGGGCCTTTGGGCAGCTTTTTGTGGGTGCATCCCAGGGATGTGAATGTTGGTTTATAAACCCCATGAATACTATAGTCATAAGTTATAAGTTATAAGTTATAAGTTATAAGTATCAATATAAACCATAGGTATTGGAATTATCCTATCGTTTTGGGGCCCCACATTGTAGCAAATCTAAATGTTTTTTGTTTTTTTTCCGCTTGGTATTTTAACAAAGCTATGGCTGAAATCTTTGCCATTTCACTTGCTGTGGAAGTCGTGACCATGTATCAGCCAAGTGAAAACAGGTTGCACCAAGGCATGTCTTTTAATGTCTAAAATAGACATTCAATGAGTATGAAAAGTCACAGAAACAACAATCTCTATGATTCATACTCACATTTTTTTTAGCTCCAGGACTTGGTGAGGGATTCGGGAGTGATTTTCACCATGTTTCACCATGTTTCAAGAGGTGACACACCACTTTGTGCAGGTTTCAGGAACGAGAACAGCAAGCAGCCGAAGCGGAACGGAAGCGAGAACAGGACAGCTGGGGCCAAATCGGCTCGGCCCCGCATCAAATCAGTGTTTGAGAGGTGTACTCAAGAACCATGCATATCTTCTTTGGTGGATAAATGTATAGATATATATATATAATATATATTATATATATATATACATATGTGGGTTATCATATGTAATTATGTATGTATTTGAGGATAACTATAGTTTTCATGTGGATAGGTACAACTAGAGGTAGAAAAAAAAACACAACATCTCCAAGGGCAGACCGTCTAACACGCCGTCGTGACACCGTGACACCATGCGTAGGAGAAGGAAGACGCGCAGCTGGCCGAGGCCTATGCGAAGGAAGAGGAAGAGGCGGAGCAGCCGTTGGCACGCCGTTGGGCAAACCCGGCCTGGTAAACAAAGGAAACAGCTATGGAAAATGGTGATTTATAGTGGATGAACCTATTAAAAGCATGGTGATTTTCCATGGTTTTGTGAATGTTTACCAGAGGGTAATAGAACCCACATGAATACTACAGTTACAAGTAGTGATAAGTAGTTATAAGTATGGTAAACCATAGTGAAATTGGAGTTATATTCACCAACTTAGCTATCGTTTGGGGGCCCCACATGGTAGTAGTGGAATTGGAAACAGACATACATAAATCATGCTTCACAGCTATGAGGGAAATTAAGCAGTGTGTTCAATAGTACTCAGTAAATGAGGCTTGAAACTGTTTGAATCATACTAAAACCTGTGCAACATGGGGATATTGGAGGATATCAGTGGAACATCAAGAAATTACAACTGACATCGTGCGACCCCGACCTTGGATATCTTCGTGTGCCAGTTATATGTGGGATATTTTGCAGCGTCATTTCTGGCCCCAGGCGCGGTTGAGGCAACTGGAAGCGGATGAGGACGTGATCCCAGAGCGACCTGGGGGATTTAGGCTCCCCACTAACATTGCTATGGACAAAAGATGGCCATTTATCATAGATTATTTCCCTGGCAAAGGTGCTTTGGAACCATGGAATTTTATGACTTTCCAGAAACAGTTGGGAATGGAATAATCATCCCAACTGACGAAGTCCATCATTTTTCAGAGGGGTGGCTCAACCATATCAAACATGTTGATTTCTAAGAATTATGTTACTTTACCAGAGGGCGAATACCTGGACCCTCGAAGTACCCAGTATTATGCCCAGTATTTTTGGACGTGTGCCAATTTGTATGGGTATGCGGAGAGTCTAACTAAAATGATTGAGTATCAACTTTTTTATGGGGACTTTGGCTTTTCATCAATTTCTGGGTGATCCCGGGTCATAGAATTTGTCACTGGTTGGTGGTTCGGAACATGGCTTTTATTTTCCATAATATATTGGGATGTCATCCTTCCCATTGACGAACTCATATTTTTCAAGATTGTTAAAACCACCAACCAGGTCAGAATACACAGCTCAGCATGATGAGGAAATGTATGTGAAGTTTTCTACAGTAAATGAATTTGTCATTGCCAGCCCAGCTCTCTCTGGCTGCGAGGAATATTCACGCCAGCTTGCAGCGCAACTCAATCCTGGAGGTGGGGAATATGTTTGTTGTCCCTGTACCAGACCCAAGATGTGCCGCACCCAATCCTTAGCTAATTTGGTTTAAAACTCCAATCACTAGGGTTTACTAAGTTTACTTAGATATATATATATATATATCATATGTATAGTCAATTGGGTTTATAAGCCAACAAACAGAACTGGATGGCGCCGTAGCCCACCTTTATGGGGCCACCCAATCGATCGCTGTATTGAATTCACCACGTTTGAACAGGAAGAAGCTTTCCCTTTGCAGTTTCAATCCCTGATACTACAGGAATTCATGGCATAACCACATCTAACAAATGAATGTATTATACTCATGGCAGAACCCAAACGAACACCACATTCATGTAGTAAATGACCTTATTTGGGTGTTTGGGTACACAGGGTCCAAGTCATAGAGTTGAACAGCTCTGAACATGTGGCAGGCAGTGTGCCTTCCTCACAGCCAAACTTCGACGGAGGCAGGGGACATTTTCTGGTGTTTCGAAGCTTTGTTTGCCCCAAAATCTCTCTTGAACAGCAGCACGGTGCATTTCCAGTGCATTTACTGATGATGATCCCAATTCACTGGCAATTACGGAAAAGAAAGTCAACACTTTTAATCGGCAAATATAGCTAAATCATCCATAAATTAGCCATTTTCCATAGCTGCTATAGCTATTGTTTAAATCATGGGAGGGTAATGCTTTTGTAGTGGGTTGAACCCAGAAACAAGAAATGCTTGTGCAACTGCCTAGCAAGCCTTTCTTGCTATGCAGGCGGTGGAAGAAGTGAAGCACTTCCCACGGTGCCATGGCGGAATTGGTTGGTAAACCCATCAAACGATGGAACTATGGATATGTCTTTATACATAGTATGTATATAGTATCAAAAAATATCATTACACACACATATATATATATCTATCTATCTACCTACCACAAACCCGAGTTTATCTAAGGCTATAAACAACTCAGCTAAGGATTGCGGGCACCGAACGTAGCAAAAACCAGGGATGGGTAGACAAGGGTAAACAACAAAACATGTCCACCCCATTTAGGGGATGCTTGAAGTGTCCAAGACACTGCAGATGCCGTTAACAGTACCAAGTCTGGTAGGTCTTCTACAGTTATGGCCATTTATCAGTTATAAGTGGTTATAAGTGGGATTATACATTCTATAAATGGGGTTATAAGTACTTATAACTGATAAATGGCCATAACTGTAGGGATCATGTATGTATATATCTATCCATCAATTTTATCTACTGTAATCCAATGCAATCCAATCTAACCCAATCTAATCCAATCTGATCCAGCCCAATTCAATCCAATCTCATCAATCGATCCATCCGGCAAGCTATCAGCGGTACATATTTTCATCGATACATACAGGTGAGGGCTCCGAGTTAAAAGTAGGTTTATGAACCCAATCAACTACAGGATGGTGCCCCCCCAGTTATAAGTTGGTTTATAAACCCCATTAACTATAGTTATATCTGCAATAAACCATAGTTATGGGAGTTATAAACCGACTTATCTAACTATGGGGCACCACCTTGTATAGATGTAATATCCATTATAAACCCAAGTTAGCGATCGATTGGGGGCCCACCATTGTACCTGCTGGGTACTCATATTTATCATAGCAAACTGGACAAATACGTTCTTAAGAAGGGTAGATCATCATGTTTATCATCGAACTAAATCAGCCATGTCTTCCAGAGCTATGTGAAAGAACCAGTGGGTAGATATGTAAACTGCAGTTATTCTGCTTCAGCCGTTCTCAGGATGATGCCGAACTTGCAGCATACTACCAGCAGCTCGAGGACCAGTGGACTTTGGTAACATTTAAGGTGCACCGTTGAATGGTGGAACTTTAATGGTGCACCATTGTGAACGTATGGAAAAGGAATTTTCATGACCGTAATAGATGTAATAGGGAGGTTGCCATCATCTGCCATCTACATATGGGATTTTTAATGGGAATTTGAATGGCGACAAAAATAACTAACCCGTGGATGGAATGAGGTACCCTATCTGTAGACAAGCTCATTTGGTTGTTTTGCATTTCAGAACATATTCTTGTTTACTCGACGCTTCAGCTACTGTAAAACATAGCTTAATGGGCTCAGGGTGATCGTCCAGTGGCGACTGGGGTGAACCAACACCAAGTTGTGACTACAGAAGATTCCCTGCTTCGATGATTCTCCAATTGGTTTGACCACGCCTGTTATTGGCCACAGGCCTGTATTTGAGGTGAGAAAATAGTGAGAGTCACTCACAAAATATGTACATTGAATGTTTGCATACTTGATGGTAAACATGTTTGACATCACATTTTAAATTTACCCTCGGGTAAACTAGCATAACTATGGAAAATCACCATTTTTAATATGGGTAAATCCACTATACATGGCCATTTTCAATAGCTATGTTAAATTACCAGAGGGTATATGTTCACGTATTGTACATATTAATGCTTATCCTATGTCTTCGATGCAAAAGAAATACAATGCAACTTGAGTCCGTACGTACCGTCACCCAGGACGGCGAAGCGGAAGGTTATCGTGCGCCCATGCGCACCAACTACATGGAGCGGCTCATCGAATCACCACAAGTTGCAACGCCCAGATCATCCCAGGGCTCGAAGGGCTGGGTTAGGGCTGGAATGTGTTAGAAAAACCATAGGAAAACCATAGGAAAATGGTGGTTTAATGGGATTTAATGGGATTTACCCTCTGGTTATGACTAACAGTTTGCGAACTGGAACATGGCCCATAGAAATAGTTGTTTTACCCAAAAAAAAGATGATGATTTTCCATAGCAAACTGTTAGTTTACCAGAGGGTACAGCAAGTCGCTCATGCCGGCAAGATATGGCAAGATCCAGGCTCCAGTGAACTAGCGGGATGAAATGCGATGGATATCCAGCTGTACCAACTATTTTGGTGTGAACAACAAGGCATCCTAAGGTTTTGAGCCATACCACTTGGTGGTTCATCCCACGAATCGTAAATAGGTTGAGACCCTGGGGGAAAGAAATGGGCCAAGTAGCGTGATCATCCACTTATAATTGGCGTGCACTAATTGACTAATGTATTTGCCCAGTATGATGAACCGCCAAGTAAGCAAACGGATATATAAGCCCTCCGAGTGAACAGCATATCCTAGGAGAATCATGGATTCTCCTAATTATCATTAATGATCGATGCATATCTATGCTACTGGTAGCCAACCTCAGGGTAGATCCTCAACAAAAAGCTGCTAGAAATGAGAGAACATGAGTGGATCACAACAACTGTGGGGACTGCGACGTGATTTTGGAAACTTGGAGGATACCCTTTCAGGATTCTTCCACGGATGAGTGCCTTTTGGTACCTTGCTTTGTAGGTCCTCAGTAGAACATACTCTCCAAAACTGACCATCTTGGATTGTCAGCTGGCCGTTGGAAACAAAGGAGGGATGACATGGGTGTTACCCTCTGGTAATTTAACATAGCCATTGAAAATGGCCATTTATAGTGGATTTACCCATTGAAAATGGTGACTTTCCATAGCTATGTTAAATTACCAGAGGGTATATACAAGATGCTTCTAATGTGAATGTGTAATTAGACAAATATAAACTAGTTACACACGTGTGACACTGATTGGAAGTAAAACGGAAAGTTGAACCAACTTACCTACTTTGTAGGCGCCAAATTGTGGAAATGTTGGACATCATTAGTTTCCCTATTGACCTAGGACCTAAGTCCCCTATCCAGCAGACAAATTAAAGTACACTCAAACAACTGTTTCTTGTGTTGTTTCCCCAAGATAACTTAAAACGTGTTAAGGATTCCCCGACCCAAAAAACAACAAAAATCTGTTTCGACTCTAAACTGAGGTAGTTTGCCCAGTTCTTGTGGGATTGCCATCAATCCAATAGTAAAGGTCAACAAAAACCCATGATATTTGGATTCCCATTGTAGGATGGATGCCCCGCACCCATAAAAACCATGGTCGCTGACCATGGCACATTTAAGACATTATTTGACCATGTCACATATCAAAACCAAACATGTCAAAATTCCCGTCCCTGGGAACATCTTCACCAGGACACCATGGATTTTCCTAAATAAAATAGAGATAAAATATGGGTAGGGGGGGTCCTGGGCCCAAAGGGCCATCCCATCCAGGCCGAAAATCTCACCTGGGCTTGGGCCATGCTTCAAGGACAAGGAGGCTGGTCTTTTGCACTGGGGAAGTGGGGGGTGCGAAAATTGCGGGGAGAAGTTGGAAAAAATGGTGGAGAAAACTAGCAAAATTTAGGAATACTATTATAGAACAAAAAAAAATGGGGAAAACTCCATCAGAGAAGATTCCATCGATTAATCATATCATTTTCAGCAACACATGTTGGAAATTTCAAGCTATAATAGTTGATTGACAGACAAAACCATTTTGGGAACACCAAGGAAAGACTATCAACCTGTTTTTCCAAAAACTGAAAGTCATTGGACCGTTGCCTGCACAAGCTTCAGAATGCCCAAGGATTTAGCCAAGAACAGTGGGAACCATGTCGTTTCTGGCATGGGAAACCTGACTTGAGCAGTGGATGCAAACACGCCTATTGCCTATGGGTTGAACATTAGAGGATGTTATACTACCCGTTATATTGGGGATTATCATCATCCATGATGGGATGTCCTAGTATCAACCAACCAGCAAAATGGAATGACACAAAACTCTGTTTACCCCCATAGTATAGTAGGGAACCTATCAAACACCTAGTATTTCCTACATTTCATGAGATGTGATAGGGGTACTCTTCATGGCTCTGTTCCTGGTTTAATCACCTCACACTGGATAGTTCTACCATGTTTTTTTAATGATTGCATGTGATTATTTGATGATCTTTTTGTTCAAACCAACTTACCTATCATAAGTAGATTATAACTTATAAATAGATGATAAATCCATAAAACCCATATGAATTCCCATGTGTGTTTTGCTTCAAAGCCACCAATTCTTGCCGCCAGACTCGGCCCGCGAGCCCATGGTCTCGGCGGAGCCCTTGACGCAACGCCCCAGCAGCCCCGGCTGGCGCACCCGCATCGCGGTGCCGCGGCAAGGGCGGTTGCGATGGCTCGGGGTTCTTTTCGAAAATGCTTGGTATGTAACAAGGCTTATACCCTCTGGTAAACATACACAAAACTATGGAGAATCACCATTTTTCATGGAAAATCACAATTTTTAACTGTGGAAGAACTAACATAACTATGGATAATCACCATTTTTAATGGGTAAATCAACTATTTCTATGGCCATTTTCAATAGCAAACTGTTAGTTTACGAGAGGGTAAAACCTCAGAAGTTGGGATAGGCCCCTGCAACTCTGGTGAAATCTATCCGAAAATGCTTGAACATGGGAAACGTACGTTTCCAATTTATAACGCATGGAATTGTCAATTGTCATGTTTGATTCCCAGAGGGTAGTCACAATAGTGAAAAGTTCGATGGCTTGGAAGTGCAGTTCCAATTATGAGGGAATAGATATCAGATTTCACCAAAATTTATACAGGATAATCATATACAATTATATCCAAACTAATGGGGGATTATAACCATGGTTATTCCATGGTTAATTCCCATTTGCAACCTCAACTGTGCCCCCTTCAGAATTGGCACTTCTCCAGCCCAAATTGAGGCTATCACTACTAGAAATGAAGATAGAAGCATCAACAATAGCTAAGTGGTTGGTCCCAGCAACCGTTGGTTAAGTGGGTATATAAGTAGGTTAACCATGGTTAACCAGAGTTTGCTATTCGAAGGTACACCCCCAACAATGGGGGCTCAAGAAGCCCCTATTGTTGGGGATGTCTGGGGTTAGTAAGTCTGAAACATAAGTAGTAACGCCTTCTTCAGATCTTCATGATATGTGGGGTGCAGACATTGTTCTTTTTGAATTGCAACCCACACACATATATATATATATAGTTATGTAATATATACATATGTACATATACATATACATATACATATATATATATATATTATAATTACTTACGCATATTGTTCAATAAGCATGTTTAAGCACTGACTGTGAAAATAGTTTGTATTCAATAGATGGTTTTAAAATCGTTTGTATTTGGCAACTGCGAACTGTGGTATCTGAAAACAAGCTGACTCCAAGCCATAACTCAGTGATCAATGATCACACATTCCGAGTTCTGAATATTATATCATAATATCCATCAACTATCATGATAATATTATATATATATATATATCCCATTGCAGTATATGTATATATCTGGTTGGTGGTTTGGAACATTTTTTATGTTTCCATATATTGGGAATAGTAACCCCAACTGACTAATATGTTTCAGAGGGGTTGAAACCACCAACCAGTATATGACAATATACTGTAATACAATATATTGAATTATATATAGTTACACCCAAATATTGAATTATATATAGTTACATTTCTTCTATATCCCATTCATTACCATAACTGGTTGGTGGTTTCAAACATGTTTTATTTTCCATTTCATATATGGGATGTCATCATCCCAACTGACGAACTCCATCATTTTTCAAGATTGGTAAATCCAGCAACCAGCAGCGAAAAAAAGTACTTATAACTTATAACCCCATAAGATGATTAAAACCACCAACCAGATAAAGAAATTCCTTTGACATCGATAAATGGGACACCTATCCTGATCCAGGTGCCGGTGGTAGCCACTGTCGGGGATCTGAGTCGACGGCGAAAATGGCACGGTTTACTGGGTAGAAAATGGTGATCTAATAGGGATTTAATGGTGATTTATGGTGATTTCAAGGGATTTAATGGGTTTCAATGGTAATGAAACTTAGCTAAGTGGGAAATTCCCTTATAAATAGAGGTTTATAGCTGGGCAAAATCATCTCTAAATGGTGGATTTTCCAGTCCCGTTTCGTTGCTGGAGGGTAATTTTTGTAAGCTTTGATGCTGGCATATCTGAAGCTCATGACATGTTTGAGTTCAGCATATCTCTTTTTTGTCTGTTTAGGGGGCTATACTAAGTCACTAAGAGGTTTCTTGCGGGTTGTTAGAACATAATTGAACCCATACAGGGATACCAAAACAAGCGTACGGGATAGGAAGAACAGGTTATTTTTCACGGCTTAGACATGTCGCCATTGTTTCTGCCGAGGTCGCAGTGGGGGTATACTTTTACTTCATGCAGTTCTGAGTGTTGCACTTGATAAATCCACCATAATCCACGTGCAATTGGCGTAGTTTCCCTCTGCAAAATACATTCAACAATACATTTTCAGTTTTTGTTTAAGGATGTTTAAGGGAAAATCTCCAGGAAAGCCCTAGATTTGAGGGTACAAGCCGCGGCGTTTTGTAGATTTTCCGTTAAACCCATCCATAGAATGTCAGGAAATATCCATGGCCTCACCATCACAGGGAACCCAATTTGTCAGCCTGTCATGACGCCGTTCCGATACAGGGCGAAATACGTCACGATACCATCAGGATACCCGGCCTGGTAAACATACAAAAAACTATGGAAAATCACCATTTTTAATGGGAAAATCCACTATAAATGGCCATTTTCAATAGCTATGTTAAATTACCAGAGGGTATACTGTAGATATAATAATATATATTAATATATAGCCGACCTTTAAACCATCGATTTCTGTGTACAGATGATGAACCAGACCTGGTTCAGCCAGTCACTGTCTCACGTCGGCAAACTTGAGAAGTCCTGCTCAATGTTCCTTGGAGGTGGTTGTTCAAGGGTTGGAAAGTGGGGTTATACCCTTCAGTAAACTAACATAGCTATGGAACATCACCATTTTTGAATAGGTAAATCATCTATGAATGGGCCATTTTCCAGAGCCATGTTCGTTTACTGGAGGGTAGTATTGACAGCTTGTTTTTTATTCTGCCTCCAAGTTGTGACACAGCCTTTTGTAGATCTATCTAAATCTATATAGGAATAATTCGCCTGAATCAGAGATGGTCCATAGGTTTGTTGTATTGTTTGCACAAATGACTGACAGACCACTGTAGGCTTGACTCATCGGAAGGTATTGCAGATGATTGATGTATAATTAGGACGATTAAAAGACTTTCCAAGGATTGTTATGATATCTATATATCTATTCTGTAGGTTATGGCCTTCCAATAAGAGTTGGCATCAGAAATTGTGGATGTTCAGCTGTTGTAAAACCAGATAATTTTGTGGTAGACACACAGCAGGACATTCTCTCATGTGCGACAACAGCAAATCGCACTCCAACCGTGTCACCCGTAGGAAAAGCTGAGCAGCATTGGTGTCAGTGCTGGGTTCTGAGGACAAGAAGAGTAAAGAAGAGTGAAGAGTAAAATAGTAGATGCATGGATTTTTGTTTAATTACATATAATTTGAGAATCTTTGAGATATAACATGTGGTGGAACATAAGATTATTGATCATGCAGGGATGAATTGTTTATATAATCATATCATAAATAATGTACCCTCTGGTTATTTAACATAGCCATGGAAAATCACCATGCTATTAATAGGTAAACCATCTATATAAATGGGCCATGGCTTCCATGGCTATGTTAAATAACCAGAGATACATATTCAATGACTCAACTAAGATTTTCATGTTCTGAGGACAAGAGCTTGGCACAACTTGGGTGTCAAGAGCTTGTCCAAGGCTCTCCTGAAGGACCTGGGTCTCTCCAGTTTGCAGCGGATAGAAAATTATAATAAAATATATTAACCTATAATAATCTATAGATAACTTAGATAACCATCTATGTTTTTGTTTTAAAATGTACAAAACTGTCTAGAAACTTCCAGAGATCTTCCCAACATTGAGCCCGTTTGCGGTGCCCAGAGTATAAGTTACAACTGTAGGGTATGATGGGCTTACAACTTCAATAGTATGATACACATATATATATATACATTATATTTATATATACACATGAAATATGTATATATATATATATATATGTGTATATACACATGACATATATATATATATATACTATACGTATTCGCGAGGTTTATCAACCAATTTATATCTTGGAGGCACCACCTCGTAATGAGTTGTGATGAGTTGTCACGTGCACTTGCTCCGGCTCAGTCCCTGGTCACGCCATGGAAAGCCGTGGTTCAATGGTGTTTTTGTTCGGGCTGGGGGCTTGGAAGATGCTGAGTCAGCCCTATGATTTGTGGACAATGAACATGAGCATAAAAATGATACGGCATGATTGTATTGTATTGCACACGTGTTTTTCTTTTGGGTTGGCTGAACCCACTATAAGATACTATATATAGCACTCTGCCTGCTAGACGACCTGAATCAAGACGCCGACATCACCATTCTAGACGTGAATATATTCACCAGCAATGAATTTTGAAATTTATATATTGAGTATATATAATATATATATATATAGGAATATCATTTGGTGAAATATGACAGGTATCACAGACCATGGTCATTGACAAACAACATCTCGAGATACCACGTTGGGCTTGGCATACTGTAGGGCACCTGCAGTGATGGAGGACAGCAACAGGGGACGCAGTGTTTTGGTGGATCGCCATCCCATAGGATCCATGGTGCTGGTATATATGGTGTGCCATGGATCCCATCATTTTTTCCCAAGGCATGTTAGCATTAATATACCAGCACCATGGATCCTATGGGATAGTAAATAGGTTATAACTTATAACCATGGTTGTGCATAGGCCAAGTAGAATTTCTTCATTAAAAACATCAGTTTTCCTGGTTCAGTCCATGAAATCACCATGGAATTTCCCAATTCTGGAGAGACTCAGAAAAGCGTCGGATCAATTGATAAAGATATGTTCATACCAAACCAATACATTGATCCATAATATTTAATGACAACAAGATTCATTTTCACAACAATATAGTGTCATAGTACAACTCTTATTTCCATGGTTTCCCCTGAAGGACGACAACTCAGTGACGGAGAGCTACCAGAGTCGCAGCGCACCATTCAGCGGCACTTCGCGCACACCGGTGAGTCGCCAGGTGCCATGGGCGATGTTCATTTTGGTTCTCCCAACTGCAGGGAGATCATATCAGATTGGTTGATTTTCGCCTCAGGTTTTATTGGATTTTTAAGTTTAATGACTTAATGACATATACTTCGAGATATAATTAATGTGGTGGAAGATAAGATTATTGATCATGCAGGGATGAATTGTTTAATCATATCATAAATAATATACCCTCTGGGTATTCAACGTAGCCATGGAGAATCACCATTTTTGATAGGTAAATCATCAAAAAACATCTATGGGGCATTTTCCATGGCTATGTTAAATAACAATAGGGTAATACTTAATAACATGGTCATTTATTGTTTATTTGCCTATTAAAAATGGTGATTTTCCAGTTCGCTATGTTCATTTACAAGAGGGTAAATTCTACTATATAGATCTATTTGGTTAATTATATCGTTTGATAGCATTAAAAAAACATATAACAAATCCAAATGCTTGAATTGACACAACCCCATGTTTTAAGTAGAATGCTTCACGGTCAAATCTCCGGGGCTCCGTAATGTTCGCTTTTTTTTTTGGCACTTCGTGAAAAATGACGGTCCGTGAATAACGAAACGCAGTTGGCACTTGGGAGTCACCAAAAAGAGGGAAGTCGGAATTCAATTGATATACCCTCTGGTAAACATACAAAAAACTATGGAAAATCCCCATGTTCAATGGGAAAATCCACTATAAATTGTCATTTTCAATGGCTATGTTAAATTACCAGAGGGTATATGATATATGATCATATCCAGTGATTCATCATGATTAATCTGCACCAAATTTCATAAAATTCAATATGATACAAAAAAATGTGATATCCAGTGATTAATCTGCCAAAATCTGCCAAGCCAGTGATATGTAGAAAGAGGTGATTGTTCTACTGCCGCTTCTCCGAAGTCTCCAGTTCCTGGGTTTTTTCCCGTCGATTTGCGGACTCGTTCTCTGAAAGCGGTTGTTGCAAGATACTAAAGCTAGATCCCTAGATGAAACATGATGAAACGCCATCAACTAAAATTGTAATTACCATAATCCATCGTTATATACTTGTTATGTTCACCAACTTAGCTAAATCCCATGAAATCAAATGCCATTAAGATACATAAGATACCATGAAATCACCTGTTTTGCTGGCGAAAACCGATCAAATCCCATCAAAAAATACTGTTTGAATCCCCTTAAATCATTAAATCCACATAAACTCCGATTGCCAGGATGGAATACGTTCTCCCCATGGCTCAGGACAGCGGCTCCGTTGCCGAGAGTCGTGAGAGTCGTAGCGCACCATTCAGCGGCACCGCGTCGCGCACGCCGGTCAGCCGCCAGGCGCTGGCGCCATCCATCCTGGATTGGGGACGAATGGGCTGCCAGATGTTGTTCGATTTCCTAAGAGTTCCACATGGGTGTGTCTGAAAATAGTGTACCCCTAACCCCGATGGTTAATGATCATTATCCCTATTAAATGGCTATAATTGGGATTATACCTTATTTTCAGACAAACCCACATGTTCAAGGCATGTTGATGTTGTTTTTAGGAGGTTTTAGGGTGTTTTTTTTTGTTAAGGTCATGAATCAGGGTTCTTATATAAGTTTTATATAATTCATTAGTTGCAGTGGACCTTGAGAATTTCAACCAAAACTGAGGATTCAATGCTTCTGTCTAGGGGACACCATCATTCTTATCCTAAATTAGGTTTTAAACCAAGGGATCGAATGGGGTGCCAGATTTTGTTGTAATAACCTATAGCTAGCAATCAGCTTAAGTCTTTATAGTTGGCAGGTTTTACTTCATGTCTGTTGGTTACGCTCATTGAAACGAGTATAAACCCCTATAATATCGTCCCTTTATGTCCCTTTCGTATCATAAACGTCTTGTACTGAATGTGTTTTTCTCGGTTCCCGGAAAGCTGGAAACATGGCGGTTGAGTGAAGAATAGCGTGTTTGTTCTATACTAGCGTGAGTTAGTCTGCAATTCTTGGGGATGTCAAACCTACAATGGGGGATTATGTCCATGGTAATTAATAAGCAAGATAGTTCCAAATTCTCAAGCATTGGTTCCCAGCCCTACCAAGTGGTCAGGTTTTGATTGATATAGCCTCTTTGGATTCAAAATACTGATCTGATTGTTTTTCGCGAGGTCTCTTTTATCACGGTTCCATACATTCAATCCCTTAAATGGAACAATACACATACCTATAGATCTTCAAACAGGCTATAATTTCAGCCTGAGCCAGATTTCTAGCCTGAATGGGTTTACGCAGGAAAACAGCCTGCGGGCAGATTTCCTTATTCGAGCAGTTTTTGTCAATTTTGGTTGGGAAAACACCAGATATTAAAAACAACACAATGAAACAGACCAGAATGGAAACACTATTTTGTTTGAAAGTTTGGTGAAAAGGAATCGGGCATGATTTGGCGTGATGATGGGGGTATGGACAACCCCAAAATGGTCGTTTAAAATAAACGATTCAATATTAATAAGGAGCACCCCCGCTATATTCACAGACCCAAAAGTTCGACGCGACAGAATCAGGCTGGAAAAACACGTGCGCGGGCACAGCCTGGGGCTAAAAATATGTCATTCGCGAAGATCAGGCTATTATTCTGGTTGGTGGTTTGGAACATGAATTTTATATTTTCCATATATTGGGAAGAATAATCCCAACTGACAAATATTTTTCAAAGGGATTGAAACCACCAACCAGAATAGTATTGTGAATCAAAACCGTAGATAACAAAAGAAAAACATGTTGTTTCACCCAACAAATGACTCATACATGCACAATATGCACATGCCTTTAACATCCAGCTCTTCTCACGGCTTCTTCCCCCCAAAAAAACAAGCAAAATCTTGCCGTCGCGCAAGGACAGCGACTCGGTTGCCGAGAGCAGTCAGAGTCGCAGTGCCCAAAGCCGCACCACGTCGCGCACACCGGTAAGTCGACAGGTGGGAAAATTAATGGATCAGTTGGGGACGGTGTTGCAACATTTCTGGATGATATCTTCAGGTGTGTATGGATTGTTATGGCATTTTTACTCCAATCTGAAGGACTTGGGATATATTGAAAGGACATATCATGCTTTACAAGTCTGAAAAAGACCTGACTTACAGTAAAGAAAAGTAGAACTTGAGAATATGAACCAGCGCTCATATTTCATTGCTGTTGTAAGCAAAGGCAACCACCATTATTCTTTATCTCTTTTTGGGAATGGACAATGAGGTTTAAAAGCAAGGGATGGAATGTGCTGCGACCTTATGTTTTTTTGTTGGAACGTAGCAATCAGGTTAAGTTTTTGTAGTTTGCAGGGTCTTATGCAATTTGTGTTGGGTAAATCCTATAATAGCGTCTCTTTCCTATAAAACACCTGTCACAAACCCTTGTTTCATATTGGTCCGATAAAGCTGGAAACATGGCTGTTGAATGAAGAATAACATTTCCATACCAGAGTGAGTGAATTTTGAATCATTGGGGGATGCGGGGGACAATGGGGGAAACATTCAGTGCCCCGAATGGAAATATACCCAACATACACACACACAGTTATACTTGTTGAACCATAGCTTCAAAATGCGATCATGTTATTTCACCCAATTCAGTCCAATTTACACCCATGCCTGACAATTTGTGTTTTCCCCATTGCTCCCGCCCCAAAAAATCCGCTTTGCTTCGGGAAAGGACAGCGACTCTGTTGCGGAGAGTCGTCAGAGTCGGAGCGCTCAAAGCGGCAACAATCCGCGCACGCCCGTGAGTCGCCAGGTGGATGACAGATCGGGTACGGTGTTGCTGTCGCAAACGGTTTTGGAGGTTTTTGAAGATTTCCATGTTCAATGGTACGATTTTACGGCATGCTTAACCAATTGGCATGCTGGGACATATTGAAAGGACGTACCAGGTATAAAAAATATTTTACAACTGGAATCAAACGTGTTTTACAGTCAAGAGTAGTAGAACTTGAGAGTCACCAAAGAATTCATTGCTGTTGTGTAGCAACAGGGGACACCATTGATTGTGTGGGGGGAATGGAGTCGAGGTTTAAAAGCGATGGGCTGTGCCAGATGTTTGAGATGCCCTTATGTCGTTTGAATAACGTAGCAATCAAGTTACCCGGCCTTGTAAACTAAGAGTTTGCGAACTTGAAAATTGCCATTTATAGTTGATTTACCCGTTAAAATTGGTGATTTTCCATAGTTATGTTAGTTTACCAGAGGGTAAGTTTTGGTAGTTTGCAGGTTTTATGCAATTTGTGTTGGTTAAATCATGCGGTCTCGTCTCTTTCCTATCATAAACACCTGTCACAAACCCTGCTTTCGTATTGGTCCGATAAAGCTGGAAATGAAGACTAAAATTTCAATACCAGACTTTGAATGAGTTTTCAATAATTGGGGATGTCCCATCTGTAGCGAGGGAACATATTTTATGCCCCAATGGAACACACACACACACAGTTATATACATATACTTGTTGAACCATAGCTTCAAAATGCGATCATGTTATTTCACCCAATTGAATCCAATTTACACCCATGCCTCACAATTTGTGTTCCTCCCATTGCTCCCGCCCCGAAAAACCCGCTTTGCTTCGGGAAAGGACAGCGACGTTGCGGAGAGTCGTCAGAGTCGGAGCGCTCAAAGCGGCAACAATGCGCGCACGCCCGTGAGCCGCCAGGTGGACAACAGATCGGGGACGGTGTTGGTGTCACAAACGGTCTTGGAGACATACCAGGTGGGCTACCACCAAATAGATATTCCATTTTGAGGCAATAGAGTTTTGGAGGTAGCTCAGGTGCTTCTAAGTTTTAGAACTGGAATCAACTGGACATGCTTTTGCAGTAGTCAAGAAACGCAGATCTTGCAAGTCTGAACCAAAGTTTATGAGGGTGAATGGGATGCCAGATTATTGAGATTGCTTGTGCATGAGACTGCCCTATGTCTTTTGGGAATAGCGTACCGATCATGTTAAATCTTCATAGTTTGCAGTTTTTGTTGTTTCAAGTTTCAAATAAGTTGGTTTCGTTTCACCCATCTAACTACCTGACCTAACTTAAATATATCTACCTGAAACCACAGTAAAGCTGTAAGCGGAGGAATGTCCTGTTCCCTCAGCCGCCACAGCTGGTTTTCTCCAGGCCTCCTCAGCAGATGACCTGGATATCTTTCAGAGCTATTCCAGGCTAGGAGGGATATGGTCAGAGCCAAATGGGTCAGTAGTGACCTGAAACAGGGGTTGGTAACTGTCCCATTTTGGGAATATTGGACATCACCTTATAGTAGCCATTATAGACCTAATGGTTGGGTGATGTTCAATGGGGGACATTTAATGACCCATGTGAAAACAATGGGGGGGTCCCCAAAACCAATGGGTTTCAATAGAAAAAAGTTGTCTAATTTGGATGACTTTTGGGGTGTCCCCATTTCAGGAAAGCTCCACATGGTCATTAAAAATGGCTTGATCGTCCTGAAATTAGGATATCTCCATGTATACATGTAAGTAGCCAATATTGCCAATGATATCCTACCAAAATAGTAGTATTTAATTTAATTAGTATGTGTTCCATTTTCTGGGGATTCCTGTGATACACATACTGGTAAGAATGCTTGTGGAAAACAACATCGCCCGTTTGGTTGCTTGCCTTCTCCTGGGTGAGTGACGTCTCCATGCGGGGTCAGCGACCTTGCCATCCAAAAAGTATGTTTTTTAACGCATACTTTGAGGATATGTTTCAGCACGTTTGAGCTAAGCTTTAAAAATGGTAAGCGACTCACTTGCGCACACAAAACTGACTCAGTTGTACACACAGATATTTGACTCAGTTGTACACACAACCTTGGGGGTGAGGTGGGGCTAGGGAAGAAAAGGGTAGGATCTACCAGCCACACCCGTTTCTTAACTTCATTACAGGGACACAACCGCTACTCCACTTCCGTCGACTTACCATCACACTTCAACCTCGGGGTGTGGGGTGTGGCTAGGGAAGAAAAGGATAGAAACTACCAGCCACACCCGTTTCTTAACTTCATTATAGGGACACAACGGCTACTTGACTTCCTTCGACTTACCATCATCATCATCATCATCACCATCATCATCACCATCATCATCATCGTCATCACCATCATCACCATCATCATCATCATCGTCATCATCATCATTCGCGTGCACAACTGAGTTATTTTTTTGTGTGCACAACCGAGTCGGTTTTCACATGCACAACCCAGGTACTTTCCTTGAAACAATTCTCAATTATTTTGACCTCAAAAAGTATGAAGCAGTCAGCACTTGATATGACCAGCTCTCCAATCATTTGGTCCTTCTGTTTGGAACGTACCTTGGTTGTTTGTTCTTTGCAACCGGACAGGAATTGGACTTGAGTTCAAATTCAATCTTCAACCTTGGTGCCACTTGGGACTGAGATCCTAACTATTCACAGCCTGCCAAAAACACATTTTTGAAAACATATCATGGGCTCTCCTTGGTTTGGTAGCTAAACCGCTTAATGTTTTGCCACAGACTCGGAAAAATGATACTTAGGTAGTATATGGTAATCTAATATGACAAATGATAATCCATCTGAAAACGGTCACTATTGAGCGGTTAACATCTAAGATCAACCATGTTCTTGAAAGGTAGTTCATATCCGCATATATCCGCATCGTTTTTACCTAGGGTTAAGCTTATATAGGAATGGGTCAACACCTATTGTTACCATATTTGTTGGAACAATCATCCAGCATCATCCAGCTATTTTGTTGGGTATCATCCGGGTACCAGGGTTTTGACCCCATAACCAGAACACATTTGGTCAAAACATGTTTTTTTTTAAATCATGGTTGTGGGTATAACTATATAAAATTACTATGTAAAATTACTATATAACCTGTTTCGGCCCATATACCTTCTGGTAAACTAACCGACATAGTTAAGGAAAATCACCATCTTTAATGGGGGAAATCAACTATTTCTATGGGCCAGCTATTCAATAGCTATGTTCGTCATTACCATAGGATAAACCATACATTTTCCTGTATGGAGGTTGCCTGAAATAGGTACCCTACAGTTATGGCCTTTTACCAGTTATAAGTACTTATAACCCCATTTATAGAATGTATCTCATCCCATAGAAATAACCAGTTATAACTGGTAAATGGCCATAACTGTAGTAGGATTTTCCATTCGAAACCATCCAGCTATTGGGTAACGGTCAAACGCTGCGCTGTCGCGCCAGGTTTCGACTCAAGGTGGTGTCCATGTTCGGGTCGATGGCGTCGCTTGGCGTTTGTAACGTTCAACAGGCAGGTGCTAAGCCTCCATATAACCATGGAAAACCATAGGAAAACCATAGGAAAACCATAGGAAAGCCATAGGAAAATGGAGGTTATACCCTCTGGTAATGACTGACATAGCTATTGAAAATGGCCAGTTAGTTCGTGGATTTTCCCATGAAAAATGGTGATTTTCCATAGTTATGTGACAGTTTACCAGAGGGTAATCACCTTTGGGAATGTTATATACCATATATCTTACATAATTTATATACTTATGTAATACGTCCAGCTGTATCTATGTATATCATATGGTTATTTGCTTTGGTTACCTCGTAACTACGGTAACAACATTTAAATATGTGGAGGGCGGGCCAGACCGCAAGGCCACGGAGGTAGTATGAAATACCAGTTCGTATATTTAAATGTAGTTGCAGTATGTTTAAATGAATTGGATTCCGTATGTTTAAATGGCTGGGCGGGCCAAGGAAAACCTTCCCGGAGGTAGTCTAAAATAAAACTTTTGCAGTCAATTATGGGGCTTGGGATTTTGATTTGGGGACATCAATTTGGATCCTTTGAGCCCCATATTATACCCATACGAAATTATAGCTATGTATAAATATATATATATATGTATATAGGTACACGTATATGATTATATAACTATATAACATATATGTGTTTGTGTATTTGTATTCAGATCATGTGATATATATATGTCATGTGATATAATACCAACATATACTTCCTTCATACTAAATATAACTGATTAAAATATATTTAAGATAATAGAGAATAACACAGCATTCCCATCTCCGCAGACACACACACACCAAGAGGTGGTTCAGGGTGATAGATAGATATAGACAGTTGTATATATATATGTGTGTGTGTGTGTCGAATTCATATTGAATCCGATGAAATATGTATACTCATAAGTTATATATTCACATACATACGTATGTCAGACCTACAAACATATATATATATATACATATACACATATGTCTTTTATGTGTTTGTGTGTACATACCTGGATAGAAACACATATATGTATATATGTATGATATTTATATTATATATATATATGTGGCAGGGTGATATTTCCCATACAAGATTTAATTCCCAAAAAACTTGAGAATATATGTTAGAGGACCTAGAGTCCATCAATTAAACGGGGCATACTTTGAATTCAGTGTCCTGAAATTCAGGCTCACTCCAATCCTCTTCCATTGCGTCCATTGCAGCTGGGTCAGTAACAAGCCAGTGAGAGAAAATGCTGCAGGGACGCTCTGTTACTAAACTTATGAACTTCCGCCGAAAATCCATACAAATCAGCAGAACTCAGGCGCACATTTTGTGATGTTGAGTTCCGCCGAAAAAAATATTTTCAGCAGAAATCCTAGGGAAAACCATTGAATCAGCAGAAGTCCACTACACATTTTGTGATGTTGAGTTCCGCCGAACCATAGGTCTGAATACTAAGTTCCGCTGAAAAAAAATATTTTCAGCAGATGTCAGGTGCATAATTTGTGTAGTGGAGTTCCGCCGAAAAACAAAAAAAACCATAGTCCGTAAAAAAAATTGCAGGCGATCAAGGGGCAGAGGCCTCCAAAAGTTCCGCCGATTTTTTTTTTTTCAGCAGAAGTCAGGTACACAATTTGTGTAGTGGAGTTCCGCCGACGGACAAAGTCCGTAAAAAAACAAATGCAACCGATCAAGGGGCACAGGCCCCCAAAAGTTCCGCCGAATTTTTTTTTTTTCAGCAGATCTCAGGACGTCTCATGCCCCATAATCGTCCGCAACGGAAAAAAGGTCCACAAAGTCTGTAAAATAAGTTGCTGAAAAATTTAAGGTTTAGATCCTAACAAAATTGAACCTTTGACAGATTTGAGTTTTTTGGGGATTGTTACTATCTTGATTTGTTGGCTCTATGCACCTTTACTATAGTTCAAAAGGCATGTGTCTGGTACCATTTTCGGTCGCTGCTGCCTCCATATACCCAGTTAATCCCAATTAGATCCTGAATATGTAAAATGCAATCACTTTAAAGTTGTTTGATCTGGGATCCCATTGAACAGAATTTCGATTTAGGAATGATGTTATTTCGAAATTTGGACTGGACATCCTTTTGCGTCAATAGAATTGGAAAAGGGTTTGAAAGAACATGGTTCCCAATTAGCGGCTAAAGGGCTAAAGGGTCCCAATTGGTTAAATAAGAATTGCGGGCCAATGATCTCATTGGTCGAAGGAATCTTAGTTGTCGGCATGGTCATATCTTAGCAATCTTAGCAGGCTACCTGTATTAACATCAAAACCTTTCAAAGGAAGGGTTGATTTAGGTTGATTTATGTAAAGAAAAAGGTCCATGAAACCACATGTGCAAGACCCATAATCCAGGTCCAGAGACCCATAATCGATTGCAAAAGTTTAATACCTGTTTGTATATTTTAAAACCCGTATATTTAAATGTAGTTACCGTATTGTACCATATGTATGAATATACTAGTGTATCTAATAATTATACATATGTTTACTGGGTTTATTAGAAGTCAGAGGTTCTCTCTCTCTCTATATATATATATACATTTGTATACTATCATATAGTAGTCAATATGCATATATGCCAGTATAAGCATATGTATACGTATATACGTATATATATATATATACACATGTTATAGTTCCAAGTTGCAAGTCGTTTCCGAGAAAACATTTTATGCACAGGTCAGGGCTCTACGAGTTGGGTGCTGACCCACAAACTGGCAGGAGACGCAGCAAGTGATACTCATCTCCTGGAAAGCTAAGGTCTTTGCCTCCCAAAATGGAGGTTTCCTAAAATGGGGGATCCCCAATAGCTGGATGGTTTATAGTGGCAAATCCTATTTAAATTGGATGATTTTTCGGGGTAACCCTATTTTTGAAACCACCATTTTATGCCTTCGGTTTGTGGTGTCTGTGGTTTGTGTTTTCAAAGCCATGGTGATACCCATAATCCATTGGAATTGCAGGGGACAAATCCATTTTTTCTTGGAATATAAGAGAACACGTAGAAGCAACGTACTGGGACTCCTTTGGATCTCTCTTTCTGACATGTACGAAATAAAAGTCGGGGCTCATATTATAGATATGGGGGTATAATTTGAATATATATTTAGCATACAACCCAAGAGCTCAGGGCAAAAGCCCAGGTTTTGGATCCTTAGAATTCTGAACAAATCCGTACTTGTTCTTTTGTTTTCACTGGATGTTTTGTTAGCTCAAGACAGCAACCATATATATATATATATATATTCCCCAAAGATGTAGATAAATATTTGACCATAATTTTCAATGTCCCCATGGCCAAGCCGCTAAACCCGTGACTTTCTGGTCCCCAGTTGCTTGTGGAGGATTTCGCAGGAAGACTTTGTGCGGGTTTGTGCCGACACATTGGAGATGATGTCGGAACGTGAGGCAGAGTGATGGAAGGGTCATGAGATGTCATGAGCCTGAAATGAATGGTGGATATGACCCAGTTATTGATGATTCACTCATGAAAAAGCGGGTTTGTTCCATAAATTTGGTTGAAATTACCATTGAAGAAAGTTTTGTTGTTAAAGTGCAAAAGAAGCTCCCACAATAACGAATAGGGCTTATGTGCATTTATTCATGATCTAATGCAGCGGAACCAGTTTAGAAAGGTTTTAGATCAAGTTTGTGATTCATTGTAAACAATCCAGACTAATCATAACACGTGAAGGGGTGGAATGAAACCGCAAAACTGCAGCTGTGCCATGTTCGGTATAAATTGCACAGGTGGCGTTTGCTTTTGGGCACTGAATCTAAAACACCCCAGCTTTGAAAATAGCAAGCCCTTAACAGAGACTGCCCAAACTGGCTGTATCTTCCATGGTCGTTGAAGACTCCACTCCGAAAAGAACCATTGGAGACACAGAACCTTTGGATATGGGTTTGTTTGAAAATAGGATACCCCCAAAAAATTGATGGTTAATTATCATTGTTCACTTTTCACCATTCAAATGGCCAAAATTATGGCCGTCGCCCATGTTCAAAATATTTCAGACAAACCTATAGCTTGAGGCGTTGAGCCTCTTTCGCCACTTCACCAATGCAGACCCCTTTGGTGCAGAGGACAGTGCTGGCAAATTAGGCCTTTCAGATATTTTCCCATGAGTTTCCGTTGTGTTTTTTTCATGGATTATTTGCGGGTGCATCGAAACAAGTGGTTCATGAGCTATGTTGACATTACGTGGCTGCATCATGTTGCATCATGTTCCCATGCAGTCGATACGTTTCACCACATTGCATACATATGGGTTTGTCTGAAAATAGGGTATATTCCCAAACAGATAGCATTTAATAGGGATAATGATCATTAACCATTGGGTTTAGGGGTACACTATTTTCAGACAAACCCATATATACACATATGAATATACATATACTAATTATTTTGCAATACAGCCAACCTACATATCGGTATACCTTTCCAACATGCATGCATAGACACATAGATACATAAATTGACAGATAGACATACTGACCGACGTACCAACATTCTCCACAAGGTGGTGCCGCTTGTAGTTAGCTAAGTTGGTTGATAAGTCAACGATTGGATTTCTGGTCGTCAAAACATGCTATAGCGATTGGAGTTCTATTGCATAAAACCACTAGCCAAGTTGCTTCAAAACTGATCAAAATATCATCTTTAAATAACTTAAGTGGTTTAAAAAAAATCATTATTTACAGTTTTAACTATAGTTCTATATGTTAGCTAAGTTGGTCAAAGCATGTTAAAACGACAACGTCTACTTAGATGGGCCATGGAGTTAGTTAACTAGTTAGTAAATGGATTATTTCATTGGGATATATGATATATGGGATAACAAAACCCCAGTTATTAACCAGGAATCGCTAATCCTATGGCCCATCTAAGTATGGTTTTTTGTTCCATCAAAAAAAGCACCCATCGCCTGGCATCGCCTTCGCGAAAAGCTGACTAGGACGAGGCCTTTGCCACGTCGCGCGGCTGAAATGATTGGTGGTTGATATATGGTAACATAGGTTGGTTGAACATATATACATAAATAGTATCAATATATATATATAGATATAGATTATTAACATATACCAACCACCAATATAAGTGTTATTTACCACCAATATCAAATATTATTGACATGTAAATAACCATCAATATAACTTAACCATCAATGTTAACTATTATATAATGATATCATTCATAATAAATATTAATTGACTAAGTTTGGTCAATACTTGGCGGTTAATATAGTTATTTGGTTAATGTTAATATATATATATATATATTAACAATTGGTAGTAGTTATATATGTATCTATTGGTTGGTGATAGCTACACATTAGTGGTAGTACCAAATAACATTTAGTGGTTAGTATCAAGAATAACATAGTTGGTACTATTTAGTAGTAATATATGATAGACTTGTAAAATTGATTTAGTTGATAGATACATATAATATTAGTAGATATTAGTATTAATATGACATGCATATTTAATACATACCAAAGTCACCTTAATACTCATTAATGACATATATCAACTACCAATCATGACTATATTGGTATGCAATAAATTGGTATGATTTACTTGATTCTTTACTCATTGGCTTATGACATTTTATGATTAAATCATATCATTCATGACTATGGTATGACTATGGTATGAATACATGAGTACAGCACTATTGGATAGTATTGATGTATTTTCTGTTCATGTGTTTGCACTTAGTGAAGAACTGATATGGTAGAACAACTGTGTGTCAGGATCCTGCTTTGATTGAGTCATGAGGTCAATGCTGGACCACACCATTTCTCAGTCACAACCCAATACAAGGAAAATCTACATATTTGCATGGTTTGATCTGTTTGTCAGGCGAAGAAACCTGGATATTTTTTTAATGGCTTTTGGGATAGAGAAGACTTTGGCACGCATACTTAGGCCTCTACTAAAGGAACATTGAACCCCAATAAATGAAGTAAGATGAGTTGTTTCTGCTGGGGTGCTGCGTTTCTCCGAACAGATACCTTTAGTTTTTGACACGAGACCCCCGAAATATACTCTCAGTTTTACGCATTAATTTTTCAAGATTTTGTACATGTATACATATATACATGTATACACATGCATACACATATAATAAAGGTGGGTTCCCCCAGTTATAAGTTGGTTTATAAACCCCATGAATACTATAGTAATATCCTGCATTGATTTCGGCGCAGTCTCCCAAAGTTTGATGGTTGTTGGATGTGTTTTACCCATTCTGTTGGTCACAACTCACCATCCGTTGTTAAGCTGAGGTTCAAAGATCTCAGTATTGATGAGGAGGACTGAAATGGATGTTTTTTGATGGACTACAATCGATGACATTCGATGGTGGATGTTCCAGCTGTTCCAGCTTGCCAGGTTTGATGACACAGGAAGGGTAAAATGTATGTTTTTAAGTCATGCACACATTCTAAAACAAAAGAAGATCCAAGAATCCTTTGAAACCCCCCCATTGCTTCGAAAAATGTCCTGGTTTGTTGAGTTGAAAAGAAGCGAACGTACGTGATGCCGAAACATCACCATACGCACGGAGAGCCTCAGCCAGACGCCGGGCCGAAGGTGGGTATACCATGTTCTTTTGCGGAGGATAGAGAGTGGCAGATATCATGAGATATCCAGCTGTTTTTTTTCCAATCCAGTAGATATCATATTCTTTTCTTCAGTTTATAGATATCCTCCATTCCCTCCCGTTGATTTGGCATCCATTTTTCTTTTGATTGGTTTAAGGGGAAAACTGTAGGAACACGCAGGAAACTCCTTTATTTGATGGTAATGTTTTCCCAACAACATCACTCCATTTTCCATCATTTTCCCAATGCAACAGGCTGATGTTTGGGACGTTTCACCAGGAATGGAAGTATGTTGTGGCCACGAAGCAACAGGCCTCTGAAAAAATTGGTCCTGCTGTGGCCATCAATACGGAATCAATATCGATCATCGTTTTTTATCATGATTAATTAGCTACCCTCTGGTTATTTAACATAGCTATGGAAAATGGCCCATTATAGATGGTTTACCTGGGTTTACCTATTAAAACTGGTGATTGTCCATGGCTATGTTAAATAACCAGATGGTACATTATTGTACAAATACAAAAATAAACACATTGTCACATTGTTTTATGATGTTTTATGCGTTGGTGTATTTCCATCGACTACCCATCATGTCGTAAACTGTGTGTTTTCATCCTGATATCGTCTCCTGTATTTGATCCCATTCCCATTTTTTCAATATCTCCATACTTCCTTGCCAAGATTCCCACTGCCCAGAAAGACTAGATATACACCTGGATCCTCACAGTGCCATCAGGTGAGTGCAAGTACAGTACCCAATTTTGGGGCAGAAGATACCCCTTGCTGTCAATCAATTGAAGGTCCTATAAACGTTTCGTTGAATTTACGTTGAAACCTTTCAAATGCCACTAGTTGGCTAGTTTATTAAATCCATTTACTGTGAACTTAAGCTACTAAGTTCCATTTAAAGCTTAGTGATAGGATACTAACAAACCAACCAACCAACCAACCAACCAATCAACCAAGCAAGCAAGCAAGCAATCAATCTACTTGAAACTACTAGACCAACAAAGCAACCAAGCAACACAGCATTTCTAGATCTTTAGCCATCTACTAAAACAAACCTGCACCATTTTGATTGTTGGGTTGGTTTGTTGGTACGGTGGATGGTAGGCTTGTTGTCAGGCTTGGCAGGATTGAAGGAGCATTCTGTTGGTCATATCCTTTGATTCAAAACCCAACCCCTTTTTTATCCCATGAAATCCCTACAGGATGGGGCCCCCAGTCGAGCTCGCGTTCAGTTGGTGAACACTGGCTTGGCTGAATGAACTATGGTTTTTGGTAGATATAACGAACTAGTTTTTATGTTTTTTTTTCATGGTGTACAAACCAACATTTCTTCGCCATCACTGGTTTTCCCCATCCTGTAGGGAGTCCCAAGCAGAATCCCCATTCATCCAACTCGCATCACCCGGCGGGCCCCGCGAAGGCAAAGACCAACTCCACAGCGATCCCCTTTTCATCGGTGCCCTCAGGTGCGATCGGTGGAAAAATGGAACGCCAGCGAGCACAGCTTGCTGTGGAATGGCGCCATAGCCAGATATATCGTATATTTTGATATGTTTGTTTGTTGTTGATTTGTGATATATGAATTATGGTATATATACATGCATAATCATGCATACGTTTGTTGAAAACATCTCATGATAAGGTTATTTACAGGAGAATACTGCATGTTGCTGATTACACCCCATGATATTCAATTTGTATTCCAAATTATAAGTTAAGTTGTCCGTAATATGGTTATTGACATGTGTGGGGAATTGTCATGGTTATATTTTTTGGTTGTATATATATATATATGTATACATATTCATGTCAATATCTATTATATCAGGTAGAGATGGGTAGAGAACTTTGTTCATGTGTTTTTTTTATTATTTATATATATAGTGACCCTCCAATCAATTCAACGATGGCTTGCTGGAAGCGTTCTCATTTAGTTTGATGTTTTTTGCCCAAAAAGACGTCATTATTTCGAAGGAAATTCCCGGCCTTCTTTGATTTTCGGATGGACTAATAAATATTATGTATGCTTAAACATGTCGACTATTAAGGTAATTTGTGTTTATTAATCTAAGTGGTACTGTACATCGGAAATTGCCATTATATCCGAGTATGTCCCCATATTTTTTGCTTATAACATCTTATAACCTCAATGAAACATCTTAAATCCCAAATAAGTTGATATCCCATTTTTAGATGCCAATGGCTAAAAAAACAACGGTATAGACCTCATTTTCAGTTTTCGGAGCCAGATGTCGAAGTTTTCAGTTGATTCCAACAGATCGGAGATCACAGGCAGCAGCGCTGGATTGTATCACCGACCAATCAACGTCCGGCGCTTCCGTGATGGGTTCCGTGGTGATGGGGGCCCTGGGAGCAGCATGATTTCATGGGGGATGTCAATGTGGAATACAAATGGTAACTAGGGCCGCCCTAGGGAAACCTAGGGTGAATGGCACAACTAATCTAGGTAAATGGTAGTTGTTAACATTGTGACCTTGGTACATGATACCAATTATAAGTCATTTTTGGTTCAACAATGGTACATGATTATTCTATATTATTCTCTTAAATTCTGCTAGTTCCATCATGCTCCATGAAAAAACAAGTGTTGGTTGTTTTTAGATACTGAAGCTAGAACAGAAAAGAACCATCAAACCACCTGTTGGTTAAAGCACAGGAATACAATCACAATTCACTGCAGGGTCTTTGGGACTAGTGAGTGAAGGTATCTCAGATTTGCCGTGAACACGATCCGGGATGCTTGGATGTGCATCTCACAAACCTAGATACACATATATAACATACATATGTGTAAATGTATATATATACACGTATATATAAGTATACATATATGTATATATACATACGCATACGTATATATATATATATATATATACGTATGTATAATATATATATATATACATGTGTATACACATGCAATTTGAGTATTATAATTATTTGTAGCTGGATAATTGTGGATGTAAACACTGCATTTTTAAATGGGTCAACTAAACATGGAACCATGGGCCATTCATGATTCCTGTGAATCAAGGCGATGTCAAACCAACACCTTTGGATACTGGGCAAATCGCTTTGGATACAGGATGGTGCCCCCCAGTTATAAGTTGGTTTATAAACCCCATTAACTATAGTTATATCTGCCATAAAAAAAAATAGTTATGGGAGTTATAAACCAACTTATCTAACTATGGGGCACCATCTTGTATATATATATATATACATATTTATGATAGGATGTAAGAATCTAAGACAGCCAATCTGAGTTACCAAGCTTACCAACCGGCGATAATGTTTGAAAGAAAAACACGCATTCCAATCCTTACAAATGATGACGATCATTGGTTGAAGAACAATTTTATGACCTCAAAATTGGTCTATAAGTCTATAAGATCTTTTTCAGGCATCTAAATTGCCATTGTTTGGGATTCTCAAGCCAACAAATTACTTCTTTGAGGTCTCTCCGGAATTTGAGAAAAGACCTCCTAAGTCCATTTCTCAGTTAGCCACAATGTGGTGCACCAGCAGTTTTTTTGTTTGTTGCTTTATAATCCCCTCCAACTATACGATACTATCCAGATTTTTCCACCCAAATTCCAATAGTTATGATACTCATATATAAAACCAAATAGTTAGTATGATACTATCCAGATTTTTCCACTTATAAAACCAACTTATATAGCTATCGACCTACCGGGTACTCTTCTGCACTGCCGTCCTTTGCGACTCCTCCGTGACGAGGTGAATCAAGTCAGTGAACAGCGTGAACAGCGACAAGCCTTGTCCAGTGAGGCGCCGCGAACTCCATGGATGTCACTGAGATCAAGGGGATGTCAATGGATACCCTCTGGTAAACTAACATAACTATGGAAAATCACCATTTTCAATGGGAAAACTCACTATAAATGGCCAGTTTCAGTAGCTACGGTACCGATGCAGGCAACAATCTGGGTAGATTATAACGACCTCACTGTTCTCCCGAAGCCTGGAATCATGGTTAGATTGCGGGGAATCATCCCCTTTTATGGCCGCAAGATTCAGGTGAGTGAAATATGATAATTTACCCAGATCAATGATTGAGATAAATAACTATGGGAACATTGGAAACATTTTGCAGATGGTGATTGATATACAACTGATATTGTGATTGAGATTGATTGAAACATGTGCAAAGCCATAGGATTGTTTTTTTTTACAGGATTTAAGCAACAGATAAAGAAAGCACTTTGTGTGGGGCAATTTTTTTGAGGTAGGAAAGGACTGCAGATTTGAGCCATTTCCGGTATACAATCTAACCTGCTTCCAGTACCCCATTTTGCATGTTGGGCGATCGGATTTTTAGCCAAGGATGAAATGTTTTTAGGGAATGGCAAGGAAATACCACTTGGAAGGATTTCTTAGGGTACATGACTACAATCCCTGCAGTTACTGTGCTTTGTTGGTTCTACTATCATTTTTTGCAGGATGAGGCCCCCTTTGCATATGACCCCCCCCTTGCCTATTGTGATACCTTGCTCATCTTTTCCACATGTGAAGATTTGCTGCATCCAGTCGTCCCTAAACCCCTTCTCCGGTCCAAATTTTACTGGGAATCCCACCCGGCAGAAGAATGACAACCCAAAATTCATGGCAAATCAAAATTAAAATCAAATGCACTTGTCAATCATGATTTTTTCATGTTTCAAACCACTATTTCTTGGCTCAAACATCTCAAACAACAAAATTACTTTACTTCGTGTGATCCTCACCATGACATTTATATATTTTGTTACTGGCAAATCTTCTGGCATTCTATCTGACATATTTTCTGGCACTCGATCTGGCATTCTATCTGGCATATCTTCTGGCATTCTACCTGACATATCTTCTGGCAGATGTTCTGGCATATCTTCTGGCAGATGTTCTGGCATATCTTCTGGCATATCTTCTGGCATATGTTCTGGCATATCTTCTGGCATTCCATCTGGCATTCTATCTGGCATATCTTCTGGCATATTATCTGGCAAATCTTCTGGCATCCCATCTGGCATTCTATCTAGCATATCTTCTGGCATATTATCTGGCAAATCTGCTGGCATTCTATCTGGCAAACATTCTGGCACTTTATCTGGCATATCTTCTGGCATTCTATCTGACATTCTATCTGGCATTCTATCTGGCATACCTTCTGGCATTCTATCTGGCATATCTTCTAACATTCTATCTGGCATATCTTCTGGCACTCTATGTGGCATATCTTTTGGCGTGGATACTCGCGGTTGAGGTCCGGCAGGGAACACTGGGCGTGGATGGTCGTGGTTGAGGTCCGGCAGGGAACACTGGGCGGGGATACTCGCGGTTGAGGTCCGGCAGGGAACACTGGGCGAGGATGGTCGTGGTTGAGGTCCGGGGAACACTGGGCGTGGATGGTCGTGGTTGAGGTCCGGCAGGGAACACTGGGCGTGGATGGTCGTGGTTGAGGTCCGGCAGGGAACACTGGGCGTGGGTGGTCGTGGTTGAGGTCCGGCAGAGAACACTGTGGATCGCGGGTCGCAGTTGAGCAAGGACGACAAGGATGACAAGGAGGACGAGGAGGAGGAGGACGAGGCAGGAGGAGGCGGAGGAGGAGGAGGAGGAGCAGGAGGAGGAGGAGGAGCAGGAGGAGCAGGAGGAGGAGGCAACTGACATAAAATCTAACAACCCTCACCTGGCAGGTGGGGAACCATATTTACCTAATAATATGGTTGGGTGGACATGTCAAAGCTGCGAAGCTTCTGGATAAAATCTTGGATAAATCTGCGGCCCGAGATCTCCAGGATGGTACCCTGAGATCTCCAGGTGTGACCTGGGACCCCTGGGACCTGGATTGAAAAATACCCCAGATTTTGCTGAGTTTCTTCAGCCCATGACGGATCCATGGTGCTGGTATATATGCTAACATGACTGGGGTATATTGATGGTAAATGTTACCATATATATAGCATACATGGATCCTATGGGCAATGCCCATAAAATACCTGTACTCGAGCATGGCGATGGACAATTTTTCGCTTAAGTATTTGAAGATGTGTTTTTTTCCAGCTAGAAACATCCATTGCCGGGATGTCCCAGCAAGCCATGCATTTTATAACCGGAGGTATAACTTCTTTGTTTTGTTCAGGGACGATCTCTGATCCAAAAATACCAAAAGATAGTTTATCAGCAAGACTATAATCAGTTGCCCAGCAGGGCAGCAGGTATGAATATTTCTGCAGCCTTATGGAGTCTGAAATGCTTTCAACGGCTTTCGATTCGCATTTGGACCCATCCGACGCTCGACGTGCTACCCGGCTTTACAACAGAGATATCCTGGATATCATCGTCAAGAGTTGGTAAGTGATACTATTGAACAACCGCAAGAAGCTGGGTGTTTCCCTGACATAGCAGAAATCATGTAGTTACTCGAACAATTGCAGCAACGGGTGACTTGGAAGTCACCTTTCAATTGTATATAACTGGACTGACAGGGAACACAGATACCAATATCATCCAATATCTTTGTGGCTGCTCCACTTTCCCAGACTTGTCCATGCCTAATTGCCTGACACAGCACGTCAGCAAGTGGGTCAAAACCATTGACCTGCAGCGGATTTGTTTGCCGTTTTTTGGTCATGACCCCCATGTATCTTGGGCATATGCCCGATGCCCATTGCATCCGACTCTATTGAAGTGCCAGTTGTCTATGAAATTCCCTTTGGGTTTATCATATCCGCTGCAATTTCTAATTGCTATCAACAACAAGTTTTATCGAACCATTCATATTATCTGGGTAAATTATAACGACCTCACTGCGACCTCACTGGAATAGTGATTAGTAAGGATCAGCTATCCCCAAATCGCCGCAAGTTTCAGGTTAGTGAATTCTTATAATTTGCCCATATATCATGTTAGCTTTCCCAAAGAATTGGTTATCACCTCAACATGCCCCAACAATCAAGGCCGAAGGGGTTACCAATCACCATCGCTATCAGGGGCTTCTTAAGCCCCCATTGTTGGGGGTGGTAGTTTTGCTCCTATTATAAAGTCTCATTTGCCCAGTCCTATAATTATGGTAGGTAATATTTCCACTGTATTCCCATTATGGTAGCTTATGATGGGGTACAAAGTGGGGCCCCAAAAATTATGTTTGCTGACTTTGCTCATTATAACGTATCATATATATATATATAAATAATGTCATTATCATGTTCTGCGACATACCAGTTACCATTATATGTAATCATGATACTGATTATATTTAGTACACATCATGCTATATACTCAGTAACATATATGGATGTTTCCTAAAATGGGGGTACCCCAATTCACCATGGTTGCTTCAATACTAAGTCATGGTCTAATGACTTGGAAGATTTGGGGTACCCCCATGACTTTGAAAACTTCCCTATTCATTCATAAACATAAGCCCAACCATGAGAAATGTATATATATATATACATAATATCCTTATACTGTAATTATCAATATATATATATTATATATATATATATTATATATATATATATATTAATATATATATATATATTAATATTTATATATGCATTATAATTATTGTTAAAATCATTATTATTGTTATTATATATTATTATTAGCAGCAGCAGCAGTAGCCATGATGATGTCCATGACATTTTGCTGACCATGCTCAGTCCGCCGCGGTGGCACTGCGCGCTCCTTTAAGAGGAGATCGGGTTTCCTACAATGGGAGTACCCCAATAGCTAGCCCTATTTTAACATAGTTTAAATTTATATTTTTGGGGGTGCCCCCAATTTTAGGAAACTTCCAAATTGTGATTTTAGGTGGGAAAAACCACCTTGACATATATTTTTTTTACCAGCCAAAGCAGGATATTTGAAGCAATGAGATATCATTTGTGCAGATATTTGTTAGGTTTCTCAGCAAAAGTTTGGACTTCACTGATTTCACTAGTACCTTGTATCTTCCTATTTGGGTGGAGATGGTGGAGTTAAGAGGTCTATATAGATGGGTCAAATGCTTATTTTGTTCCAACATGAAGTGGGGGGCTACACTGCAGAAAGCTACCATGGAACCACCCCACATTTGTCTGCAACATGATTCTGTTATTGAAATTGCATGTGGCCACTTTCAGGCTTCTATACTGCATTTCAGGGGTGTATCAGTGTGGTGGTTGCTAACCCAAAATAGGACACTGACATCCGCTTGTTTCTGGGAATTTGAGAAAATCATTGCAGGTCCAGTCTTTGCTTGCGCGGCAATATTCCATAGAGGTGTCCTTTTTAACGATTCGCAATCATTTTTGAACATTTTTTGCGGGGTTTATAACCCAACAAAAAGTAACCAAGTAACCCTTATGAGTTCGTCGCACCCTTGTTCTACCTATGTACTAATTTAGCAAACTTTGCATTGGACTCAACGCTGACATTGCATTGCAGCAGGTGAGTGGGCAATTCTCCGGAGTTTCAAAACGTCATGAAATAGAAAAACAATCTCGCTGGCAATTGTGGACTATTCTGCAAAGTCTTGAAATTGAGCAACAATTGTGTGGGAATTCCAATGTACAGTGCTTCCAGTTTCAGAGTTTCCAGCCCTTTGATATGGCTCTTGCTTTGGAAGTTGCAGCAATGTAGTCATCTTCTGATGGCCAATGTGCCTGTCTTGGATGCCATTTTAGCTGCTCGTGCACGAGAGCTCCCACATTTACCTCAACACGTGTGGCTGGGATCGTGAGTTCCGGGGGACACTGATGGTGGGCCAACAAGTGTAGCGGAACCACCCACTTTTTGCAGCGCCGATTTCCGCGTATGGAAATTAACATTTGGATGAAAATTGGTTGCTCAAGAGTGGAAGGTTCAGACTGACCATTCCATTTCTGGGTGGAACCGGGTCTTCAATTTGAACTCATCCACTGTCTTTGTTGGTTGACAGTCCCATCTCTTGTCAATTGACAGCCAACTTTTGTTAGTTCACCTGCTAATTTTAGGTGGTTCTCCGCATTTTTTTTGTGATTCCTCACAGCAGCTCAGGTGGCAGAAGGTTCATGCACATGTGGGGCAAGAATACTTTCCGGAGGATGCTGATACTTGACGAACGATTTGAAACCACGATGGTGCCAAGTATTAATTCCACCGCGTCAAACTTCCTACTTATACTTGAAGAATCTTCGTATATGCACCCCAAAATGAATAGATCCAATACTAAACCAAGGTTTTGTGTGCAGTGTACTTAGTGAACGTGAGAAGGATTATGTTGATTCCAAGGGAAATACAAATATTGGGGTTTGTGTAGGTTTTTCTCTTTGGCCATGGAGAATCGGAATAAATTCCCCAGCTCAGAGTCACATTTGTTTGCAAAGTATCCTCTGGTAATCAAACATGGAAAATTGGTCATATATATATATATAGTTGATTGTCCAATTAAAATCTCCATTTATAGGGGATTTCCAATTGCCGTGTTTGATTCCCAAAGGGTATCTAAGATTATTTTTGATAATGACTTGGACAAGAATCTCGCCCTCAACGCTGGAGTTGCCTCAAGAACTTTCACGACGGGCGCATTGAAATTGAGAACGGCTAATTTGTGATGGAACATCCCTAGATGCCCACCACTTGCAAATTGCTTTGGGTCAAATTTGGATACCAGGCAGTTTAGATGCCAACTAATCTCCACGATATTTCAACACTGTTTACATCTTATTACAACCAACTTCAAGACTTCAACTTTGCCAGACTTTTGGAGACTTATTCATCAACCCCGTGGTACATCTACAATGCATATGTATTACAATGGGGTCCCTGAAACACTGACGTCCGTGGTAAATAATGCACGCGAACGCGCTGTGCCTTTTGGAGGTGCGTTCCAACAAATGCGCGTTTTCAAGCCGACCGAGCCACCAACAAACATCACATTTGGGGGCCCCACATTGTAACCGCTGCCTCTTCCTTTAAGGAGGGCATCTTCGTCGTGAGACCACGGCAGATGGTGGAAGCAAGACTGCCTGGCGATGGATGGAGGCATTCCATCAACTTGCTCTTCGTGGGTGACCTGGCGTTTGATGCGAAGTGGGACCCCCAAATGTGATGTTTGTTGACTTCTAAACTCCATGAATTCTATATATATATATAGAGTTATTTGCTTATCATAAACCATAGTTTTTGAAGGTTTATGTCAACCAACTTAGCTATCGTTTGGAGGCCCCAGATTGTAAATATGTTGGTTTATTTTAAAATTTTTACCTAAGATGATTATTCCCTAAGCACTAGGTGTGGGCTTTGCATTCCAGCTTCGGAGTTTTTGTGGCTGGAAGAAAGACAATGACAGAATATGATAAAGTCAAGATTATATTGACCAAGTAATGGTTTAACAAAGTAGAGACCCAAACCCATGGGAGGTGACAAACCAATAAAGTATGATAAAGGGGTCTGGGATTGACAAAGTAGAGATTGCGTTCGATACCACCTGGCTGATTGAAGGAGTGCAGACCACTTGCCCTTGTTCCATGCAGGTTGACACGCAGGCAAAACCAGGTAGGAAAGGACTTGGTGTGACATGGTATGACTTGGTCATTCGGCTGCCATACAAACGATATGCTCATATGAGGCAAACGATATGTCATATGTTTAAACTCCATTATGTAAACTCCTAAGACTGGGAAAATGATTTGTACAGTACTGCTTTCATTCAGCTCTGTAGTGATGGGTCAAAATGATTGTGCCTAAGCGTAGTCGGTTGAACATTGCGAATACTTTATACTAAGAAAGGACCAAATGCGTGGGTTCATTGGTGACCAACGTTTGCGCTCAGGCAACACCAACGGCCCTCCAAAGAAGAGCGATACGTTGTGGTACAAGCCGGTCACTCGATCCAGACCGAAGTATTGCGTGGGGGTTGGCTGACCCTCTGGTAATGAAACATGGCTGGGAAATCACCCAAAACGGCGGGGTTTGCTGGGAAAATAATCTATATACATAGTTGATTTTCCAGTGCCACGTTTGATTGACAGAGGGTAGGCCGTGCTTTGAGGTGATTTTGGAGTCATTTGGTAGGCCGTGCTGTGCTTGGATGCTGGGTAATTTTGGAGCACTCGCCATTCCGACTCCAACATTCACTTGGACATGATTCAAATTGATTCAGATTGAACATACCAAAACACATGCAGGTGCTAATTGTTCAACAATAAGTGACCGTTTTTTGTGTGTCCATCCGTACTCCAGTATTGAGCCATTGCCACTGCATCCAAACAGCCTTGCAGTAAACTGCCACTCTACTTGTAGGATAGACCTGGATAAATTGATAGCGACATCACCACGACGGCACCAAAGATTACGGTTGGAACAGTTGGAACCATCCCTCACCAGTGACCGCGGCGACCATTTCCAGGTTATGAATCCTTATCTGGTTGGTGGTTTGGAACATTTTGTTTTTTTTCCATATATTGAGAATAATCATCCCAACTGACAAATATTTTTTCAGATGGGTTGAAACCACCAACTAGTTATCATTTGTTGATATCCAAATAAGTGTGTCCAGGTATGGAGCATACCGCCAAGTCTTGGGTTAATGCTCATGTTGACCAGCAACAGTTTCATTTTGGGTAAATGCCCCAAAACTCAGACACACCCGATATCATATATGTTACATGTTGGTCCATGATATCATCTGTTTAAAGATATTGGTCACCTCTTAGATAATTACTGACCATACATTGCTGGTAAAACCACGGTTGTATTTCCATTATATGTCTTTTTTCTAATCACCACCATTATTTACATGGATAATTATAAAATCATATAAAGTAACATCACCACTCCTTTAAGGCTACTTTTCAGGGGGGACCATACCAAAATGTAAGATACATTTTTTGGGACCCTCCCTTAAATGTAAAATTGGTAGGGAGGGTCTTCAAAATACCTTCATATTGAAAGCTTACACTTTCAAGGCCTCCCCAAAAAACACCTTGAAGAATGTAGCTTACATTTTGGGTACGTCCCCCCTTAAAACGGTGCTGCTAAAATAACTACACTATATGTATATATATATTATATCTGTGTTCTCCCATAATATCCCCATGATATCTTATGATCCCTTCGTGTCTGAAGCAAGTTACCCTCTGGTAAACTAACAGTTTGCTATTGAAAATGGTGATTTATAGTTTTCCCATTAAAAACAGTTATTTTCCATAGTTATGTTAGTTTACCAGAGGGTACTTCCCAGTCACGCCGCCAGGCAACCACCATGAATTGCTTACCTGCCTTCCTGGCGGACGTGGTGCGACCACGTTGGGTCACCTGTCCTGGGAATCCTGGGAAGCTCAAGTGGGCACCATCAAAGACGTTTCTTCACCATGCGATGACGTTTAACCATGAAAAAACAGCAGTAAAACCCACCATTCTTATATACAAGTCCGTGAGCCCTGTTAATTACGGCTGGGTTTTAATGGTGAGCGGCTAAAGGGTGGTAGTGAACCAAAGGCACATTTTTTTTTACCCATACGGGCTGGTCAGACTTATCACTGACCACCAGCAAGTTTGCACATACAAAGCGACCGATAAAAGAGTGAAATCCTCGGTTTTTTTTTCAAAAAAATACCAATATCACTGCAACATGGTGGTGATAGGCCAAAAAAAGTGCCCCCAACTAAAACCCTAAAAGAAACTGCCACACAAGACACGAGCTTGGTTTTTTGCCCTTCGCTGTGGCCACGCTGCCTGTCTTTAGCACATGGTGACTGGCATCACCCGCTTCCGCGCCACGCATGTTTGCAAGCAGCGTCAGCTGCCACTGCCACCTCCTACAAACTATCACTGTATGCTAATGTCACTTAGGTTTGGGTTTGGAAAAAACACAGCAGCAGTTCACCAAAAACGGTGACACTTAGACCTAATTAGTATTAGATGCTAATTTTCGTTATTTTTGTTTCTGGCCCCGTATCCAATTTGAAAGGTTCCTTGGCCCTCCCCAGTGACACGACCGCAACATGAAAGTAAACTCGCACCGAAACTTGAATGGGCAGCTTTCCCGCCCTGTCTTGGTCTTGCTTCAATTAGTTCTGCTTTCTAAAACCAGAAAGGCTGTGAGCTTGTGAGCTATGGCTAATGCTGATTCCATCATGGTAATGATATAATGACAGTTGACAGTAGCAAGGAGGGTTGCCGAATGGCCTAATGAGCGGCCTGACTTCGTTGTCTGGCCTCTGGTCGTTGCCACTTACTACCTAGCCTAACCTACCTGAAAAATCACACAGGGAAATAAATCAGGAAGTTGACTGTCTGTACATTGGACGGTTTAAGGCCTTTTTAGGCTTCCCGCTTCAGTCATTCCCTTTCTACTTGCGGCAGCGCTGCCTTTTGGCCGCACTTTTCACAGCAGCACTTTTCGCAGAAGCAGCACTGGGAGCACGACCCCGACCCCTGGCAGCACGGCCACGTCCACGTCCACGGCAGGCGGCACGTCCGCGTCCACGTCCGTCACGTACTGGAGAGTCGCCACCGTGCTCATAGTCCAAGGAGGCCACAGCCAGATCACCACCCCCATCTGCTTCAAGCAATTCAGACATTGGGCTTTGCTGATCGCCGCCATCATCATGATCATGATCATCATCAACAAGTCCGATGTCCGCGACGTGTGTCGATTCAACTTCTGCAGCAGCAGCAGTGGCAGCAGCCTCTGTGGCTTTCTGCACTGTGCATTCCGCCAGACTCTGAAGGTTCTTTTTTGGATTGGCATTGGCACTGGCACTCTTGACCCCATGGCAAGCGTGAGCCATCGTCATGCTATCTCGAAGCTGGTCCAATGCAGCTTCAGCCTGACAGGCGACAACTGTGTGGCTGTGTGGCAAGGCAATGGAACAAATAAATGAATACTACCCATCCCACCATATTCTTGAAACTTTCAACAACTTGTTTTTAACAAAATCTCAGCCAGCCAGCCGAGCCTGCTCTGCAGTCACAGTCACTGCAGTCGTCTCAACTTCAGTCTCTGCAATCTCCTTCTCCTTCACCTTCTCCTGCGTCTCCTCACCGACAGTGGGATGAACAGATTCGCCAGGAGTAGTAGGAGCCTGGGTATCAACTTCTTCTTGGTCGCTTTCGATGACGGAAATTGGCTCAGATAAAGTGGCGGCAGCAGCCACCGCATCCAAGTTCTGAGCAATTGGCTCAATAGGCTCAGATTTTGCCTTGGCAGGCGTTGGAACCTTTGCCAAGATTGCACCAGCCGAATCGGCATGACCATGACCATGAGTTTCAGGTTGAACTTGAAGGGAGTTTGGGGCTGCGACTGCAGCTTGTGATGATGGTTTTTCCGCCTCTGGCGCGGAATCTGCAAGTGATGGCGCCGCTGGTGTTGTCATTGGGTCACCTGCTGCAGCTTCAGCTTCTGCTGATGGCTGTTCCTTTGCTGGCGCAGAATCTGCAAGTGATGGCGCCGCTGGTGTTGTCACTGGGTCACCTGCTGCAGCTGCAGCTTCTGCTGATGGCTGTTCCTTTGCTGGCGCAGAATCTGCAAGTGATGGCGCCGCTGTCATTGAGTCACCTGCTGCGGCTGCAGCTTCTGCTGATGGCTTTTCCTCTGGCGGTTGCACAGAATCTGCAAGTGGTGGCGCACCTGGCTGCTCTGCAGCTTCTGCTGCTGGCGCTGCCATGGTCTTGGCGACACCCAGCGAAACATCAATCTCCATTTTGACATCTGATGCAGTTTTCTCATTTTCCTCACCTGCCTGTTTTGCAGCTTCTCCCGCTTGTCCAGCATGATCCTGACCTGTAGGCTTGGCTGTAGGAGCTGGCAACTCCATCTTCATGAAAACCTCCAGGATATCCTTGGCATACTCAACCTCAATGCCCAAGCTCACTTCGTCCTCATCCTCATTGTCCTTCTTGCCCTTGCCTGTCACACCCTCAGCAGTCTGATCACCATCGAGGACTGCAGGGGCCAGAAGAGTGAGCATGCGAGTTTGAACCTCCACGGCCCAAATTGGATGGATTACCTTCTTGAAGTCGATGAATCGATCCAAGTCCTTCTGTGTCACGGTGTTGTAGCATGCATCGACCTCGCCAAACAAAAGGCACCACCAAGCTGAAACTAAAAACGCTTGGCAAAAAGACAAAGACCCTTCACTCGTCACTTTATGCTGTACTAGTACACTAGTTCCGATCCCTTTTATCGCTCAGCATGCAGCATGACTGCTTCAAAATCACAGATTGAGGGCGGCACTGCGGTTCGGAACGGCTTGGTCTTCCTGTCACGACTCTTGTAGTCCCGGAGCATCGCGGAATCTTCAAGGGAATCCAACCCCATTCCTTCATCATCAGCAAGGTTCAGCCGATTGCCCCAGTAGCGCGTTCTCTGGCATCGGTCAAAAATTGACTTTGCCCAATCGAGAAGGAAAGGAGCCAGCGTCAGCTGGGATTTGGTTGAAAGCAAGAATGCTTTGGCTGTTGAGCCTTCCTCAAGAGAAGAAATGTCTGCCTCAACCAGTTCCAAAGCTTTTTTCGCTTGATGGCCCCACTCCAACCGGGAAGAATGCGCTCTCTGCCCCGACCAATGCACAATGATGTTCTTGGTAGATAAGGGTGTTTGCGCAACCACCTGCAGTGAAGTGAAGGTGCTTTTAGTTGGAATGCTAGGCCAAGGAAACTCAGACTACATCCCCTACCACTCACCCTACCAGCCCTACCACTCATATATATAATATATACATTATATCATTATATATGTAATATATTATATACAATATATAACAATTCAATTCAGTTCAAGGTACCCAACCAGCAGGAATCTCAAGAACTTGCCCTGGTTGCAGTGTGATGGCAAACCCACCCATGCTCCAAAGCTCATCAGCCGTGAGATTCACCATAGCATCGGCCAAACCCAGGAAACTCGTTGCTTTGTCACTCAGAGTAGGGTGTTTGCTGATGCCCTCAGCCAGCTGACACACGCCGACAGCCGCAACAAAGTGCAAACCTTCGTAGTTGGCAATCATCTTCGACAGCAAGTAAGAAGGAACTCCTCAGATTGTGCAGGCTTGACCCTGTTAACACATGGTGGCAAACGACCATAGCTCAAGATTATGGGAGGGCGACCGGGCGACCACAAATAAAACACCAAGTGGGACTCGTCCCGCAGCGGGGCATGCCAAGTCTCCAACACACTGAAACAATGGCTTGACAGCACTGTAGCGCTGGCAGAAAAGCTTGGAGGTGTCAATTTTGGACATTTCCTCAGGTAGGGTCTCCAAGAACTCGTCTGTGTGCAAAGTAAATTCTGTGCCCATCCAAAAAGTTGACCCCAACGAGCGTTCATCAGCAGTGGTCCAATCTCGGGTCTTGGCACAAGAACCAAAGGTAGCATGCACTGTGGAGATCTTGTGCCTGGCTGGCCCTGATTCAGCAGCATTCTGCAAGTTGGAGGTTGCTTGCAGTGCATTTTCTGCTGAGAGGAAGGAGTGGAAATCCTGCAAAGGTGCGTCAGGGATCTTGATCTGGACGCCGTCATACAGCACTCCACCTGGCAAACAACAGCAATTTGAGAAGCCATCGCCACAGAAGAAAAGAAACACTGGTCACTGTTCTTGTGGAAAAAACTGCTGAAATTCACAACTGTAGGTTAAATCAACACTTCTGTCTGTTTAGATTCCTCATGCGTTTCCACTTTTTGTCCAGTGAAATCTCCGTTTTCGTTTTTGAAGTGGCCAATAATTCAATCACCCGACAGTGCAAGCTTGGGATGAACAAAGGCAATAAACACCCCTAAGAATGGTGTGCCTGCAAAGCGCTCAGACCAAGAGTGATCCAGTTGAGCATGAGGCATCATCCGGATGTTGTTCTCCGACTTCCCCAAGTTCTTCACAGATTCAAGTACCTTCCAGGCATGTGGACTTTTGTATTCTTTCAACTGCTTTCGGTAACGCTTCTGAACAATCGGCACTGGCACAAGCTGCTGATTGTTGTCACCAAGTGGGACTTGACCTGCATCACCATCACCAAAACTCTCAGAATCGGAACTCTCGCTGTTGCTGCCCTGTTCCTCTTCATCATCTTTTTTGCCTCGGCGAGCAATAGTAAGAGAGGAGGAAGTAAGTAAATATCAATCTTACTTTCCGCGGTTTTGAGTCTTGAGTCTTGAGATTCAAATTTTAAAGGTTTTGCAGATTGACTTGCCGCTTGCGGCACACGCAATGTAAGCACAATCTAAAAAACGTAAGAGTAAGAGTAAGCATTGCAAGTAATGAACCTAGGAACTTGTAAACTCTTCGCACGCCTCAAAGTACCCATTGACTGCTACCTCAAACGCATCAGCATAGCCTTTCAGGGCCTTTCCGAATCTTTTGACGTTCTTTGCCGTGACTGTTGCATCAGAGAAAACCTGCGCCGCTGCAGGTCAATGTGTGAGTCACACAAGGCAAGTCAAGACTGCAAAGTTGGACAAGGCAGCCAACCTCCTCTCCCAGTTGGTGAGAGCCAGGGCTGTGCACAATGTCAGCGACGGAATTACCTGGCTTCGCCAAAAACTTTTGAAGAGCATCCAACGCCACGCCAATCGCAACAGAATCATCAGACGACCCTGGTTCCCTGGCTTGTTTGATCTGTGTGAGAACTTCCTCCGGCAATGCAATCATCATCTTGTGCATGTGGGTCAGCATTAGCTCGAAATTCCTCAGTCATGAGGAATGAATGACCTGAACCTGCTGCTATTTCTACCACAAAAAGCAGGATGCAAAAAATGTATTGATTGGAATTGAATCATTGAACTGCATCATTGACTTTGTAAGTATCCAGCTCCAAAACGGCACTTTCAGGTATCTTCTCAGCAGAAGCAATAGACATGCCACAGGCAGTCACAACCTCACAGGCTCTTGACACCTTGGCAGCCAACCGCCAGCACAAGGAGAAAAAAAACAACAGCTCATTGCTCATAACTTCTGAACCTGTTTGAAAAGGTATCGCAATGACAAGCCAAGCCCTGCACAGTGTCGGACACCAGGGTTCTTCGGGAACGAAGTGCTGCAATGCGAGCAAGGTCTTTTTCCGCCGCTTTGTGACGAACAGTCGATGGCCTGAGGCTAAGGCGATAAGGCGGCTCAAATTGTGGAAAGTAAATGAAAACCCCGAATCGCAAACAGTTCAAAGTGTTCAACGACTGAAATTGGGAGCTGGGAGATTGGGAGCTGGACTGTAACTCTGTTGCCGACAAGTGAAACCAGTTGAACCGTTGACCCCAAAAACAGGCCTGGAAGCATCATCTTCCAAAGAGCCCTGAGCCTTGCTTTTTGCCTTCGCCTTCGCCTTTCCCTTTGCTTTGGGGCCTGTCAAATCCGAAGAAGCCTAACTCCAGGCACAACTTGAAACTTATGGGCCTGGCCTGGCACCACAGAAATTGCAGACTCCATTTCCAACACTGGGGCTTCGATGAAGTCGTGGAAGCCTCATGAGCGAGACTCTTCAGTCACACTCTTCAATTTCGAACAGCAACCTTGGGCTGCTGCAGGAGCGATCGAAGATGGAAGTATCTCGCTGCAAATTGCCACTGCGAAGTCCTGCACGGACTTCCGCTTGAATAGCGGATGTTCTCAAAGCACAGCATGCATATTTAGGAGCATGTCACGTCCCAGCTCAGGAGCGGGCTCTTGGCAATATCATGAAGTCCAGCTTCATCGGTCTGTTCAACTTTGGATGTTTTCAGCGTTCCAGTGTGAGACATGGACCGCTTTCCCACCGACCTGGGCCACAAAATCAAAAGAAAACGGTTGAAAAAAAATTGGTCGCTGACAAAAGGTTGAGGCTGACTCTGACTCTTCCAAGTCTCAGACTGGAAGACTGACAGGGCTGGCATGGTCAACCAACCCATCTGATCCTTTGCTCTAGGGATGGTAGGATCTGCCAGCAAATCCTTCCATCGATTCTTTGCATCGTCTGACTTGATACCCCATCTCTTTTTGCATTTCTTGATGTATTCACGCAAGTTCACATACTTCTTGGCCTTCTCAAGGCCAATTGAGTCTGTGACATCGACCTTGGAAACAATCGTTGAAGTTTCCATCAAAGACTTCAATTGGGAATATGACTTCAACGCTGAATCTTTGGACTGGGACCCCCACCTGCTCAGTGATCTCCACAGGAAACTTTTTGCCACGCCCTGGTGCCTTGCCCTTGTGTTTTTTAATCTCAGCATTCTTGTTATCCTTCGACATTTTGCCCCATACGTGTTTTTGTCCTTGTCTTTCATACTCACTGATAATGGCACGTCGAGCTTTATCACAGGGCCTGCATGCCCAGGACCGACCCCTCTTCTGACAATCCTTCACAAAGGCAGTCTCTTTGCAGTGCACGCACCTTGTTTTGACACAAATCAATTGGGCTATGAAATGAACTATGAAATTTGGAAATTGGAGCTCGACATGAAAGGACAAGTGAAGACCATTTGATTTGAAAGAAACATCATGAGGAGCTAGGATTCGTACTCGACTTTCATTCCATCTTCAGGAGCAGCAGCAGCAGCAGCTGGTGTTGCCCTTTCCGACTTCGCCTTTTTCGGTGATACCTTTTTCTTCCCTTTGGATCCCCTAGATGACTTCGGGGTGGCAGCTGCAGAAGGCTGTGGGGATTCAATTGGCTTCTCATCACATGAACCTGAATCCCCCCCAGAGCCACCCTCACTTGAATCAGAACTTCCAACATCATCCATGTGCTCATCTACCAAGGGCTTGTTGCCTCGCTTACCCATGGTGCACACCGGCTCACTAAGGCGAAACTGGAAAGGAAAAACTGGAAGGGTAAAACGTTCCTGTCAATCCCTGGTGCAAGGCTCAAGCCAAAATGGTCTTGCAACAACAGACTCAAACCAAACTTGCATTTTTGCAACAACTTCTGAAACTGAGGACATGATGTGAAATGCCTTCTGAAACTGTTGAACAGTACATTCACACGATCTAGAAATCTGAAGTGATATCACTGCATCGCTCTGTTCCCCAAAAAAACAGCTTGTAGCAGCTTGCAGTTTGCAAAAACCCTTTGTCACGCAGAGATTTCTGCAGAGTTGGTTTTATGTCTGACCCTTTGGGCGATTCAATTCTACCAGGGACCTTTTGGAACCATTCAGATCAAAATGATCAAGTGCTATTTACGCGTCAATTCATCCTTCAATCTTTGGGGGCGGCGCGGTGAATAAAATTGCGGCTGTGACAGCGGCCCCGATGCAGCTCAAGTGCATGCTGTTGCCAACCTGAGTGTCACCAATCACCAGGCCATGATACCAATTATTACCTGGAAGGAAGGATATGTTAAAAAATCAGAAGAGATTGTATACATCAGCACGTTGAAGGCAAAGCGTTTCTGACCAATCGTAACGATCAAGAAGCACAAGAGCAAAGCGCGGAGTTGGAAATACTACCAACATTCAGCTGCGAAGTTCCCAAGATAGTGGCCACACTCTGTGTGACTGGCATTCCATGGCAGGCAGCCAAATCAAGCCCGCCTAAGGTAAGTAGCATATGGTGTTTCATGTGAAGCTGCAAACAAGTAAACATCAGGATTCAAAAGTCTGCTCACAACCGGACCAACTGGAATCAACCCAAGGCTCTGACTGAACAAGCGCTGAGATGGGATGTGCACCATTTTCGAGCAGCCAGTGGTCAGCGTTGGCATGACACAAGACCCCCATCTCGGTCTCTTTTTGGGGTTTTGTTGGAGATCAGCTACAGTGATTCCACGTTCCCCGAACTCAGATTCGTATCCCTTCAGAAACTTCTTGTTGGAGGCAGTCAGAACATTTTCAAAATCTGGGTTCTTTTCTGAAAGCAAGAAATCTCCAACACTTGGAGCTGGATCTCGGCAAAGAAGGTCAACAGTCTTCAGAAAGTCGGTGATTGCAGCCACCAACCTGGCGTGGAAATTGAAAACCCGAACTGATGACCATAATCATCACAAAATAACAGCGTATACCGTATACAGCTATATATATATATTGATATATATATATATATATATATATTGATATATATATATATATATATATATATATATTGATATATATATATATATATATATTGATATATATATATTGGTGTATATATAAAAATATTCATATATTATTAAAACAAGATTTCCCTTGAAAGGTTCACCCCGAGGACCTCTTTCAAAGGAAAAAGTGTTATTCAATCATATAATAATAATATATATATATATATAAATGTACATATATAGAAAATAAAATATATAGATGGTGAAGTCTCAAAATAGGGTACCACCTGCTTTTCTTGACACATCCCTGTACCGTGCAGCCAAAACTTGATTAGATAATAAGGCAGCCAAAAAACACAAGCTCCTGGCAGATGCACAGACTGTAAAGTCTTTTGCGCGACACTGGATAATTGAACATTTGAGGCGACAGCGTGAAGGAATGCACAAAATAGTCTTTCCCTGCAATGGCAGGAGCTTCACAAAGTATCTAAGCCAAAAAAAAAAACATCACAAGTATGGACCCGCAAATCACAATTCTCCAATGGTCTGGCCTAGTGCGCGTTCCAATTCCTGTGGCGGAAAGCCACAAACATTTTCGTGGACGAAAACATGTGGCTGGGATTTCTTCACCATCTTCATCCTTGACAGCAGTGAGCGAAAGAAACTTGATAACTGTCCAACTTTTTGAAGTCAACAAAAAGAGATTCTGGGACATTGACTGACTGGCTCTACATTTATCAGCGAGATTCAAAACCATAAAGGCAGGAGCGGAGGGTCCAGCTTCGCATCCACGCTTGCCAAATGGACTCCAATCTTTGCACGATGAACCAGCCAACTGAAGCAAAAGTTCAAGCGGCTTGCAACTTTTTGAATCCGGAACTCTCCTACACTTTCCCTTGTGGGTGAGGCAATCATCAAAGTCATTCAAAATCACCTTGTCATTCATTATCAGGGTGTACAGCTCATCGAAGTTTTTCCTGGCATGGTGCGCAGAGATAGAAATCTACTAAGAACAAAATTTCCTTTGAAAGGGGTCCTCCGGGTAAAAGGTGTGAAAGGACCCCTTTCAAAGGAAATATTGTTTAAGGTTTCCCTTGAGAGAATAGCTGACCATTTCGTGTGGAGCCCCCTGTGATTGATACACATATAATATATGTTTTTCCTTTTTTATATATACATAAATGTGTGCATAGATCAAGCAATATATGTGTTTATTAAGATAGATTGCTTTCCAAAAAGTCTTCCATTGAAAGGGGGTTCCAGAATAAGTCGGAGTTGCCAAATACATGGTGTGATCCAAAATGGTTGGAACTCAGTTGGGCTTACTTTGGGGTACTTATAGATTATCTTGAACTCCTCGCAAACCCCATAGCCACGTAACATATAACGCGCTGTAGACAAATATACGATGTATATAAAACACACCGCATGATGCATATAAACAATCTACAAACGCGTACGTTCATGTTGTATGTGACTACGCAAAAACACAACATCTCAAACTTAAATTAAAAACTTCCCAAAACAAACTTCGAAAAATGGCTCACACTGAAATAAATGGATGATGCACTCACTCGGAGAAACGCGCTCTGATCTTTTTTGCAGCTGGCATACATGGGAAGAAATCTGTTGAGTGACCTTGCGTTTGGTCTGACTTTTCATCTGCTTTGCAAGAAAGTTCTCATTGGACTTTGTTTGATGTATAGTTAACATCACCTGTGCTTCAGGTTTCTTTCAGTCTTTTCCCCCAATTTTGGGTGGGGAAACAACCTAAGAGGTTGTAGGGAGGGTACAAAATTGAAGCCTAGCTAGATGATGAGGGTCTTCCCTCCCACCCTCCACTTGAATTGAAAAATGAACGTGCATTCAGATATTCACATGTAGTGACGTGACAACTGAGCATTGAAACATCTTTGAGCGTTTACCGTTTGGTCGTTTCATAAAACAACAAACCAAAGGTTCATAGTTGATAGAAGCATAAGATTCCAATGCCAGTTTGTCAAACTCCTTCAACTCACTTTATTGCACTACGTTAACTCCTCACACCCAGTACCACTACGCCTGGTTCATTGTATTAATTAGATGCAATACATAGCGCCAAAAGACATGCCCGGTTTTTCGAGAAATCATGAGGGTCTTTTTTCCCACTTGGAAACCCACTCCTCACTTCATCGCTTTCTTTTTTTTAAGACTTCTTGAAAAGGCTTTGCATCTGAAACTCGAGAACATGGTAAAACAAATAAGAGTGAAACGCTTTGAATTCAGTTGTGTTTGCATTTCATTTGTTTGGGTAAGGTGTACGATATAATCGTAGAGACCAAGCTTACACCCAAGAAGAGGAGGCGAGGAGAAGGGAAGCTTTTCCCTAATTCAAGGTTTATCTATAAACAACCATTGTCACGCCAACAGTAATCTTAGTGGCGCATGCTGACCCAAGGAAAGAATGTTTAGAGTTTAGGCGTTGGCTGAATAAGATTGTACATGTTACTTGGGTAAAGAAGAAACTTTCAAATCATAAACAAACTAGATATATCAATAGTAATCTTAGAGTGGATAGGAAATCAATAAATGAATAAACAAATATATATAAATAAGTCTATATATACATATATCATATTTATATATACTGACTCAGTGCTTGATCTCCCAGAACAATGTTAAAACTACAATATGTTTGGGTACTTAGGTGGCGCGTGGGTGGGCATACGGTGATGTCTCAAAATGATTAGAACAAAGAAGATGGCCTCATTTGCAGACATACCCTTATGTGTAAATTAAGTACAAAAGCCCACTCGAAGCCAATCTAGGGAGTTGTCAAGAAAAAGGAAATGGCCGTTTGGCATTTTTTTCACACTTGATCGCCGTTTTTTTGTGTTTTGATGTGTTTTGTACTCTTTTTGGATTTTTTGAGGGTGGTGGTCATCATTTGTGGTCATCATTTTTGGTGGTCATCATTTGGTGGTCATTATCCTAATTTATTGTCGCCCACCACTAGTTGTTTTGGATGATGACCATGGTCATTCTTTGCCCAAATGGGTAAACCCATGGTCATTAAAGTGTCAAAAACCCTGGTAAAATGATGACCATATGATGACCACGTGGTCATCATTTGAAAATGATGACCATGGGCGTTCTGGTGGTCATCATATGGTCATCATATGATGACCATGGTCATCATTTTAAAATGATGACCACCATGGGGCCCGTGGTCATCATTTTTGGATAATGCTCACCAGAATGCTCACCACATCCCTTTTGGTCAAGTGTGGTCACTTTTGATTTTTTTTCCACAGTTAGGCATTTTTCAAACGCACATGCTCATCCGTGTTTGAAAAATTGCGCAAAACATCGCAAAACACTGAAGAAACTGACCAAACACCCAGCACGGATTCCCTTACCTCCACCAAAGCCCCCGACAAAGGAAAAGATGGAAAAGTAAAAAGGAACCCACCCTGTTTTTACTATCTTGGGGGAGTGGCAAACCAACAGGGCAATTACAATTTATTGGGCCTGTCCTTCTTGAGAACCAGATAACTGCTGACTCCTTCTTGTCATCGAAAACATCCTGCAAACAAAGTACGACTATCCACTTGAAATTTGGAGGATTCCTCTGAAGCAAATGAATCAATGTCAAACATTGGGGCCTGGAGGGCTGCTTTTGCGTTGTCCATGGCAAGAGGGGACTCTTTCAGCAAAAGGTTGTCATGGCAAACGAGCTGACTATCTCGCGGAACATCTCCCATCCTGCTTCTCGAATGTCCATCTTTCGTGAACAAGAAGTCCAATGTTTGTACCCCTAAGGCTTTCTGGATATCACCCTTTGTGATTTCCTGAGAGAAGTAAACAGGCTCATGGACTTTCTTCAAAACCTGATCTGGCAGCAGGTTCAAAATGTCGCCGAAGAGACACGAAGTTGGACCTACAGTGCCCAAAAAAAACACTAAGCGGTAAGCTATTGGCAACTTCTATGTTCAACTTGGCGTGTATGGAGAGACCTACACAATACAAAAAAAAGGTCGGCTGGCTTGACTAGAAGTGGAACTCGGAAGCCATTGACTACCTTGAGATACCGCTGCAATCTCTGGGATTCTGAGACCCCGGCTGTTTGATGAAATGACCTTCTGGCAATTCTTGCTGATATCTGCAGACGAACACGTAAGGGCTATTTCCTCTCCATGCCTACTCAGATGCCGTGCCACACATTCGCAAGCAATTTCTGCTGTCCGGTAGCCAGAGAACTCGGAGACAACCCTCACTTCCTCGTCAGAGCACACATACTCGCTTAAAGAAGGCAGCATTGGTTCTAGGTCTAGCTCTATATAAGATAGTGTGTAAATTGTCTGGAAAACAGCTTGGCAAAAGAAACCCACAACCTTCAACATTGTTGCTCTAAAACCGAGAATCTTTCCATGGAGTTGCTTGTGTTTGCATCTTGCACGCAGTGTCCACAAAAACTTCCATGAATTTGAAGGTTCGTTGGATCTTCTCAGGAACTTCACTAATCAACCCATGGGGATTCAAAGATCGGTTTCTCGATGACTTTGGCTTGGTTGACTTGCGCCTGGGCTTTTCTATTTTCTTCGGCTTGGAAAACTTGGCTGACGGTCGTTTCTTCGAAGTGTTCGACAAAGTTTTCTTGCGCTGGGCAGTAGGCTTGGACTTAGACATTGCGTTGTTTCTCTTCATGGCCATGGCTGGCTTTCTTTTGGCCATGGCTGGCTTTTTTTTGGCCATGGGTGGCCCGTTTTGGGCGTGTGGAAATTTTCCAGAAGGCAAAGCTGAAAGGAGACCGTCGTGGTCGTCTAACACAGGCATCCGTAGTTGAAGTCCCTACCCTACAGCTACTGCCCCACTACTGCCTACAAGCTTGGGCAAGAACATGCCCCAACTAAAGATTGAGTTCGCAAGCCCTAAGACCAGACTAAACCATCTTGAAATCAATTGCAATTGCGCATCGCACGTCAATGCAAACACACGTGACAGAGAAATGCAAACGTGCAAACTGTGAGATTCAACGTTTGAGTCCAACCCTCTTGGAAGACATTGGAAAACTCAACCCATGCTTTCCACAACCACGATGAACAATCAAGCGTAAGCACATCAAAAAGCCGTCAACTTTTCACTCCGTAGGGGCTACGCTTGAAACCATGTCAACCCTAAAGTCAAGCATACCTCAATCAGCAGCTTCATCCCCCGCTGCATCACGGAGCAACTCAGTCTTGAAGGCTTCGTAGTAAGTCAAACGAATAAGGTCGAGCACAGTACGGCGCCTTGTCCATGTGTCATACTGACCCCAACCTCAAAAGAGCGCATCAGCAGGAAAAAAAGTAAAAAGCTGGTAGGTAACAAGACACTTGCACAAACGGTCTAGCAACCTCAGCAGTTTGGGCTTCAGACATTTTTTGCCATTGCGATCCATGGCATTGAGTGCCTGATGCGCGGCCCCTAGAGTAGATTGACGCACAACAATCTCTAAAGCCATCATCTCAATTTGATTTCACTGGCACTGCTAATTTTCCACTTGGGTTGGTCCCCCAAAAAAGGCCCCCACAAGTCCCAAAATCTTTCATAAAATGCAGGGAAAACACTGTTTTTTGGGGACTTGTGGGGGCCTTTTTTGGTGAACCAACCCAAGTGGAAATTTAACAACTGGCACGGAAAATGGTTCTGGGCGCCTTGTTCACTTGGTTGATTGGAGAATCTTGTGAAGTCTGTGGGTCGAAGATGATACGTGCCAACTCTTCCAAGATTTCGCAAACTCTGGAAACACGACAGTCCCTGTCCACTCGGTGATATTCCCTTCCAATCTCTTCGCAGTGCCGGACAGCACGTCCTAACACATCT